TTCCCGTAGCCAACATCCTAGTTTCCCAGAGGATCAGACCGGGGTTTTTTCCTAAAGAGGCAGCATTTGCCTTCTCGAGGCAGAAGAAGAATATTTTTCTGTCTTGGGCTTCCTGCTGCCACCCCCCTTCTTCCACCGTCTCTCTCATCCTTCTTCGTAAGTGCCTAGGGGAACCTGGGTCAACTCTCTGTTTTATCTGCGCAGGTCCACCAAGAGTCACACAATAGGTATGATGGATACAGTGAGATAACAGCTGGATCTCTTTTAGAAGCAGCCAGAGGGGCAGTATAGTGGGAGTGCATGGTTAGATGCATGGGCTTCAGATGGCCTGGGTTCAGACTCTGGCTCCACTAGTTGCCACTTGGACAAATAATTTAACTTGTCTCCCTGAATTTTTTGTTTTTGCTGTGCTGGATCTTCCCATTTATTCTCTTTGGCATTGACTTTTGATTGTCCAGACTCTGATGTTTGGTAGATTTTATCCCCAAACAGATACGAGCCCGAGCCAAGGAGTCAGCTTCTGGTATACCCAATAATTGGATGCTTTCTGAGTTCCTGATGATGAAATTTAAATTTTATCCAAAAGTGTGACCATTTCGGAGATTTTAGGAATGCCAGCTACTGTCTGTATTTTAGCGTTCACCGTACTCCAGACTAAACTCATTATTAAAGTGTATTTGTTCTTCACATCTCTGGGTTTCCTTACTATGATCATTATTAAGTTTTTCTAGTTTATTTTTCTTATTTAGCCACACTGAAATTTCTTCAGTATTGGAGTCACCTGTACTGCTGCCCCAAACTGGCCAGTATTCTAGTCCTCAGTTTTATTTACAACCCATTCTGTGACTTTTACATATTGTGTGTATTGTGTATGGAAAAGTAGTGGGATTAGTACATAGACATGGGTAACATCTCTTAAAACAAGTTAGTCAACATATGAACTCCTCTTTTGCAGTGGTCAGAATTTCCATCATCTCACTATCATCAGTGGAAAGGTAATGCCCTTTAAGCCACTGTGAAAGTCAAGCCAGTTTTAAGTCTTTTGGAAAAAGAGGTACATGTTAGGAAATCCTGAATGATGATGAGTCAGCCTCACTGATCCCAGATTGGCTGCATTTGTACCAGTGGCCAAATCCTGCTTCTGACTTGCACGGGACAGCCTTCGACATACTTCTGTGTCACAAGACTTTGACCTCCAAAAGCATCTGCTGCTCACTTCCAGTAGATACCTCGGGAAGACTGACCCTGGGGTTTGCTTTTGGCAGCACTCCTGTCGGTGTCAGGTTATGGATGAGGGGGTAGGACTCCCAGTACTCTGGTCCCTGTTTCTGGAGGCAGGGACAGGAACAGCACACGACAAGTAGACACGATGTTAGCGTTGTGTTCAGAGACTTAATACAGCTTCATAAACCCACATTTCTAACAGTCCCCAGTGGAATGCCTTGTACCACAAGATGTTCCTTAACTCTGAGTCTTCTGAACTCAGTATAAAAATGCAAACTGGTTCTCTTCTATCTAAACAGTTGGGAATAGAGGAGAGTGAGATGCCTTTGAAAGTCAAGTTGGTAGTTTCATCTCTTTTGGACTTTGCGATTAATTGTGACCTACAAAGGGATTACTACACTAGCAGAAACTTTGAATTTTCTGAATAGATTTCCCTCTGGTTAGCAGGCAGAGGAAGTACTGACTTCTTTCACTTTCCTGGGGTTGGCCTGAGTATCAGTGCCACTGCCATGTCACTTGTTGACTTCTTTTCCCTGATCTCTGTGTGGCGTGATAATGAATAGCAAAGCTGAAAACTGGAGTGTATACTCATGGTTCCCATGCTGTGATTGCCAGGAGACCAGAAAGCCAGTTTTCTAGTATAACAGAATCATGTTCTAAGAATTGGTTTCATTGAGAAAGAGAACAAAGCAACTAGGGTGGTGGAGGCAAGGAGGTGGAACATAAAGGAATAAGGACTATAGAGCATTCCTAAACTCAGATTCCTGAATCAGCCTTTTAGTTTCGTGGGAAGGCAGTCTCAGAGGTAGCTATCCCAGAGTTCTATCATTTCCGATATCCTAGGTCTTGTCTAGAAAGTTGATGGTAGTGGAAAATCTTTTAACTTTATACATCAAGTCTTAAACTGCCCATGCCTTTGTCTCTTTAACACTAGGCTTCCACCATAGGCTTCCCTTAAGTGGTGGTTGTCAGCTTCATGGAAATGTAATGATACTGATTTAGTGGAAGGTGCTCTGAACTCAGAGATGGAAATGCTGAGTTTAAATCCCAGCTCCCCTTCTTTCTAACACTGTAACTTGGAATAAGACTTTGAACCACTGGCTCCTCTGTTTCTTAATCAGTAGAAGGCAATGGCACCCCACTCCAGTACTCCTGCCTGGAAAATCCCATGGACGGAGGAGCCTGGTAGGCTGTGGTCATGGGGTCGCTAGGAGTCGGACATGACTGAGCGACTTCACTTTCACTTTTCACTTTCATGCATTGGAGAAGGAAATGGCATTGTTCTTGCCTGGAGAATCACAGGGACGGGGTAGCCTCATGGGTTGCCATCTATGGAGCCTCACAGAGTCGGACACAACTGAAGTGACGCAGCAGCAGCAGCAGCAAGGGAATAATAAAGACTCCTTCACAGAGGTGTTCTGAGAACTGAGTGAAATAATGTATGTGAAAGCACTGAACATATTGCTTGCTTAAATTTGTCTTTTTTTCTTATTCTGGGGGGAAAGTATATCTAATCATTAATATTATGGATGTCATTGTTCCAGATTTTTTGCTTTTAGGCAGGAACTTCTTTAGATGACCTTTAATTCCTCTTAGAGTTAATGTTCAAAACAAAAGCTGAAACTTCAGTGCTTGTATATAAAATAGTAAGCTCACACATTCTGCTGGTAATATCAAAACCATGGGCCTGTGATTTCATATATGTAAACTCCTGAAGAATCAGTTGCAGTCCTGACAACTACTCTTTCACTATTTTAATGCTGAAAGAATTCAGGAGAACTGAAAGTAAGAGCATTATTGTAATTGGGATCCATTTTGTACAAAATAAAGAATAAGTTGTTTCTAAAACACTGCTGTGGTGAAAACAGATTATGAGAGCACATTGAGTAGAGAATGACTTCGTAACAATGCTAAGAATAAAAAGCATGGTGGGAAAAATTGATCATCATGTGCTAGCACACTAGAATTAAAAAAAAAAAACTGTACTTACATAGAAATCTGTTATTTTCCAGTGTGTAGCACATCTAAATAACAACCTAATTAATGAGAACAACACAGAGGGAGGAATATATAAACCAAGGAAAGTGGACATTGCTATATTTTTCCTCTGTTGATAGTTCTGGGTCTTCCCTAAACCTGTAGTCCTGTTTATACTCATCACCCTGCCCTCCTGGCTGGATTTCATGGTTTTTGCTGATTTATTATCCAAGCCCCCATCATTAGTTGGGGCTCCTTTTGTTTCCAGAGATGTGGTTGTGATACCACTTGGTGTCCTGATCCAGGTTCTGGGGCTCTCACCTGACTGGTATCATCATCTGTTTCTCCCTTTCTGACCTTGGGTGTGGCTGAAAATGCTAGCCAGATCTCTTTAGCACAAACTTCATGGAATGGTTGTAACCTAATGACCTCATTGCTGGTAAAATCTGTTTGTTTTTTTTTCCTGGGCTGAATGTGGTAAATGTGACAGATGGGAAATATAGTCTATGGTAGGAAAGGCAAGAGCCTATGCTGCCTGTAGGATTGGCTGTCTGTCAGCTGGGGTTGTTGTCAGCTATCCTGTTTCTAGGGATGACCCCCAGTTCATAGCCCTTGAATTCACGTTCTCTTTGGTAACTTGTGGAACATGTTGGCTGCTGCAGTGAGCAGGGTTCCTAAGCCGCCTGCCCAGTACACTGAAGAAAATAATCATCCAGTGTCCTGCCACCTTAAAATACAGCTCCTGAATTTTGCTCCTTAGTTTTTGTCCACTTGCATGTTTCTATGTAACTGCAGTTATTTTATATATTCCTTTTTTTTTTTGCTTGTCTTAAATTTATCATGTATATTTACAGGACTCACAAATTATAGCATAACGGCTACATAATGATAACTGTGATGTATAGCTTTGGTATATCACAGTTTCCCCCTCTTATTATTTACCAAGGCTCTATCTGGTTTCTTGGTGGTTTTTTATTTGTTTGTTTGTTCTTGTTTGTTTTTTCATCATGGGAAGCATCAAAGTGAACATCTTTCTGTAATGCTCTTCCCAGAGAGAAATCTCCAGGAGCTAGACCCCAGGGTATGAATATTTTAATGGTTCTTATTTTATAATGTCATATTTTGTTTTCCTGAGGAGTAGCACTTTTTTTAAAATAGTATTACCAGTGTGTACACAAACACCCTTAAAAGCAAGGCTTTGAAAAACAGGCCCTCAAAGCATGCCCTTGCTTTGAGATAGGGCTTTTCTTATTGTGAGGAAAGGACCAAGCAGGATTTATGAGCCCCTTGTAGAAGTGACTAGCTCTTCCTCAGCTGGCAGGAAACACTGACTCTGTCGGCTGCTCACTGCACAAAGCACAGGCGTGGCTACATTTATGGTATGTCTCCAGTCTGGCACTGAGCCACTAAATGATTTTTGGTGAGCTGTTCTTACCTCCTCACATCAGATGTGAGTGCTCAAGTTGGAGCTTTCATTACAGTTTTTTGCTGGTAGAATGTTGTAGAAATACAATGGGTTTGTTGCATCATAGACACTTTAAAAAAAATGTCCTAGTATGTTTAAAATAACTGTGTTTCTCCCTTTGATTCCTTTGCTCTTTGAAAAACTTAAGACATTAAGCAAGATAAAGTCTGATGTAGTGAAGAGTTTCTGCTTGAATTTTCTGTCAGGACTGGTTATTTAAAGCATTGTAAGTTTCCATGGTTCATGTTATCTCAGGGTATCTTGTGAGTTAATCTTGTGAAATGAATCCTGTGGTCCCTACTCTGGGCTTACTGTTTGTGTCTTATTTTCTCAGTGAACATAAAGATTCTGAAAAGAAACACAAAGAGAAGGAGAAAACCAAACACAAAGATGGAAGTTCAGAGAAGCATAAAGACAAACACAAAGACAGAGACAAGGAAAAACGAAAGGAAGAAAAGGTACAGAACTTCCCAGTGGAGAAGGAAGAGGTGTGGGGTGTATTTTTCATTTTGTTTACCTTTGAAAGCAAGTCATGAAAGTACCTTCATTGAGAAGTAAGATCCTCTGACCATTTTTTTAAATTTATTTTTTTATTGAAGGATAATTGTTTTATAGAATTTTGTCATCCCCTGACCTTTGAGTGAAAAAGTCTGTGTCAAGAGATGTCAGAGCCTACCAGAGTCTTAAATGATGAAAACCAAAACTTTACCACTGTATTTCATGTACCAAATCTATCCATGTCATTACCTTACTTTATATGGTAAATTGAGGGATGTAGGACTTCTGGAAAAGTTAGTTTTCTTTCTTGGAGAAAATTAGTTTTGTTTTTGAGAGAAGGCCTAATACCACATTGGTCCTCTGTTGAATGAAACTTCTTCCTGAGTGAAAATTTAGTGACACTGGTGCTCTTTGTGGCTTTTGGTTCCAGTATAACCAGCAGAAGCCTTCTCAAAATAAGCTCATCTGGCTACGAATGAGTAGTAGTACTGTGCCTAGCCTTTTTAAAGAAGTTTTTAGTTTCTCAAAAAGTAATGCTGGATGGACTTGGTAAATTCAGACAGTATAGAATAGGGGATAGTAGTGAAAAATAATCTCCCTTTAACCCTCAACTCACTGTCCTCCGTCTTTCCTGTGGTGGAGGCAGCCACTGTACCTTTTTTTTTTTTCCTTTTTTGTATTCTTTCATTGGTACCCTATGCGTGTGTCTATGTGTATATTTTTGTCTGGAAAGTTGAAGGAGGGCAAACATGAATATACTTTGCCTAAGTCAGTGAAGATGGGAAATAAAGTATTCCTTTTCATTTGGGTTTGTTTTTTTATTTCCTGTCTGCTCTGCCGAGGGCACATCTTTGAGAAGTGGAGTGTATTTATTGAGGGAGGGGACCTAGCCTCATTTAAAGGTAAAAAGCCACCATTTTGAAGGGAAACACTTCCCAGTAAAGAACTGTAAAAAAGGAGTCTTAGAAAAGTGTCAAGACCTTTGGTTCACCTGTTCAATTTTGCTATTAAGAGTCAGTCTGTGATCAAGATTCCTTAGGAGTAGAGGCCAAATCATCTCAAGTAAGGTAGAGACTTCTTCAGCTTTAGTCCTTTTAAGGTACTAATCAGTTACTGCTGTTTTCCCTTTCAGATTAAAGCTTCTGGGGATGCAAAAATAAAAAAGGAGAAGGAAAACGGCTTTTCTAGGTAAGACTCTGCGGTCTTGGCTTCTCTTTCTCCGTGTGTGTCCAGCAGGCCAGCTGCCCATGTTGCAGCGTTGTTTGAGTTCACCTAAAATGCACTGACCTGGCCATCTCCAGGTTTTCAAGGAAGTTGGCAGTGAAAGGACTTGGTCTTAGCCAATGAGAGCATTTCTAGAGTGCCATTTAGCAAGACCGACCAGCACATTTTATAGAAGGCTATTTTGAGTGGAGGAGGTTGGCAGGAAGAAGGTTTTTTTTTTAATGAGATATAATTTACACTTCCATAAAATATACCCCTTTAAAGTGTACAGTTTATTGGTTTTTAGTTTTTCACAAGGTTATATGACCTCCCCCACTACCCTCTATCTTATTTCAAAACATTTTCATCACCCCTAAAAGAAACTCTGTTCTTAGTCAATAGTAATTTTGGAGTTTCCTAAAAAACCCCTACTCTGAATTCCTTGGTAGTATTCCTTGGTAGCTCATACGTAGATACTGATTTGATCTGCATTTTCAGGACAGGTGTAGATTTGGGCACAAGTATTTTATCTCTTTTCCAGAAGGAGAGGTCACTTTTCCAGAGAGGTCACGACAATCCAGAAGTCAGCTTTCCTTTCCTTTGTGGGGCCGTTTAGATTCTGTTTTCCTCATCAGCTGCAGCTCCCTAAAATAAGTCCAAATGTTTCCTCTAGTTTCAAAAAAAATAAATAACATATTCTAACCTGCTCCACTGAATGGCAGAATGGATTTACCAGGAGTTGTTGGGAGTGTTTGCCTTATTATCCAGGGCAAAATGTTTTAAGAGTTTTGCTTTCTTGAAATTTTGAACTTTCAGTTTCATTTGAGAACAATTTTGAAAATTGTGCCATGTACTCTGGGTTCCTTACCCCAGGAGAAGCAAATGCCCTCTTCAGGCATGTTCTGTAACTGTTCCAGGAATGCAGAATAATAAAGTTCAAGAAGCATTAGAGCTGTAAGCTAGGCATTCTGATTCTTTAGATAACAGTGACTGAACACAGGGCAACTATTTTCTGCCAGGAGATGGCCTTGGACTTTTATTAAACTAAGACTTAAGATATGATTAGGCTCTCTGGACTTGGTGTGGAGTCCTGGGTTTGATTTGATCCTTTCTGGGTTAGATGATCAGAAGCACACCCTTTGAGGCCATGGTTGATGTGTTCGCTTTGTTGGTCTTCTCGCCACCTTGCATCTTTGTCTTCGTAGAGATTCCACATGCCTCACTGAATTGGAACAGTTTTCTAGGGCTTTTAAATTTTTTTCTTCAGGCCTAGTAAGCCTTCCCATGAGCTTTTAACCTCACTTATGATAGTACTAGGATCTAGCATTTACTTAACTAGTTGGGTAAATGGCAGCATTGCTTTCTTTCTGGTGCAAAGCTCTTGGAGATTTTGAACCCTTGGGTCAGTATCAGTGGCTTCTGTGGAGGGGAGAAGCAGCTATAGAAGTTGGCCTTTGGGGAGTGTGCATAAATAAGGAGGGAAAGTTAATCTCTGTAAATACTTAAGTTTATTTGCAAGCAAGGGCATCCAGTATGCTTGTGGGGAAGGGAGGGGCAGGGACAGCATTGAAACCCTGTGAATATGCTGACTTTATTTGGCAGCTAAATCTGGGTGCTTACCCCTTGGCCCCCTTAAACATGGTGTGACTTTCTTTGTGTCTGGAGGCCATTCCTTGTGCTGAGTGAGTTAACCTTGTGGATGCTTCTGGCTGTGAGCAGTGAGGTTCTGACAAGATGTGCCAGGCCTGGGAACACCCCAGGCTCTGGTGGTGGCTGGCCCCTTTGGTTTTTTAATTTGTTCTCTCCTCTTTTTTGGTTCAACATAGTCATCTAACAGAATCATCCTTTTATATTAAGAAGCCTAGATGCTAACAAAAATAGGACAAGGTACTCTTCTGTGTATAAAGTAAACTGAAGGAGGAAGTTGAACAGTGAACAGATTTGGCTTAGAATGACTTCAGTTTTTTTGTTCTGAACGTCAAGTTTTGGGAATATATTTTTATTCCTTTTTTGGTGAAAGCTATATTTTAGCTTTTGGATCACTAGAATAATCAATTCAGATCGCTTGTGGGGTCAGATACACAGTAGATCCCTCAAATAAGGGAAAGAAATAACTTAGGTTTGTTCCTAACTGTGATGTGGATTGTGTTGGCAAAGAGAACCAAGAGGTCATGGAAAGAATACTGACTGAAAATGAGGGGTTCTGATCCCTGACCTTGATCTGACCTCTTCATCTGTAAAATGAAGGCACTGTTGCGGTGAGAATTAAGTGAGAAAAAAGTGCTCATGGAGAACCTTTTAATATGTACACATGTATGTCATTATCCTTCTGTTAGCTTCTTCTCCCAACTTTGCATTACTTTTATAATGTAGATTTTCCAACACTGACTGGCTAACAATTTTTTTTCTCTTCAGTCCACCACGGATTAAAGATGAACCTGAAGATGATGGCTATTTTGCTCCTCCTAAAGAGGATATAAAGCCATTAAAGAGACCTCGGGATGAGGATGAGTGAGTATTTCTTACTACTTTTGAGTTGTTAAGAGAATAGTACACAGAACCTTCTACACTAGTTGAGTTTTACTCTTTAGGAATTTGTGATTAATAGACTGGGTGACGGATTTCTCTTTGAATGCATATTTACACTTTTCTTACATTTTTTCTTATTAAAAAGGTAATGCATGTTTATTGTTGGAATTTCAAATAATCCAGAATTCATGAAGAATATTTAAATTATTTAAGTTGCTTCAAGTGTGTCATCACCTCCCACAGAGAAGTTTTCATTGTTAAAGCAGTTTTTCCTAGAATCTGTGCCCGTTAATACCTTCTTAGTGAAGTTTCCATGTAAAGAAGTAATAAAATTGCTCTTACTTAAAACATGTATTTTGAGGCTTATATGTGCCTCTCAGGTCCAGTCAGTGAGGTTAAATCCTATTCATTATTTTCAGCCTTGTGAAATTTATTATGTTTTGGGAATCTACAAAGGATTTATGATAGAAAATAGTTGGAAGGGGAGGACAGAAATACTTAGCTCATTTGTATGTGTTTAGAATTCATAAAGAATTTCTTTCTTCCCCTTCCCCATCAAGTTATTACTTTGTGGTAGCCATTGTTGCACTGTGTGTTTGCCTCCCCTATTTCCACCTTCTAGTATTACCTGTTTCTGTACTTACACCTCTGCTCCACCTCCCTTCTAGGCCTGCATGTGGTATGAACCTGTTTGTTTTGTTCTGCGTAGGGTTTTAACTGTTGGTCCTTGGCCTGGCCTTCTTTACTTTCTCCATTCCTGTTCTTGACTGTAGAACGCCCAGCCAAGAATAATAGCAACCACGCCTGCCTTGGAGGCCACCAAGAAGAGTTTGGAGGTCCTAATCCTGCTGGTGAGAAGTACTGAGTCACAGTTGTGTTAACTGCATATTCATGTTCCCCTTTCTAGTGCTGATTATAAACCTAAGAAAATTAAAACAGAAGATATCAAGAAAGAGAAGAAACGAAAACTAGAGGAAGAAGAGGTTAGTAAAGAGACTCAGGCCCTTTGGGGCTTGAATTTGGAATAGGGAGTTTTTTTATAAAATAACTTACAAAGGCAAGTGGCTTTTAGGAGTTTATTGCTCTGTTTTACAGGAAACACTGGGAAAACTCTTGTGTGTTACAGTGGCTATGGCACTGTTAGTTTAGATATTAGCTTCCTGGGTGTCCACTCATAGCTATGCTGCCAGCTGACATGTTCTTAGAGAAACTATACCATCTTCATATGTACATACAGAAATACTAGCAAGAAGTCATATTTTGGCTTAAAACCAGGAAGAGTTTTCCCTAGGAATGTTTTTTAGCTTTTTTTTTTTTTTTTTCCAATCTAGCAAAGCTTGCCCTTCACTCATTTTGGGTAACTCTCCCTATTTAAAGTCCTTTAATGGGTGTTGCTTGGACATAGCTTGAAATCCCAATTCTTGACCATAGCTGACCATCCCTGGGTCTTGTGCCTCTTTAATTTACCTTGTTTTCCAGCCTCACAGACCCCCTTTGTTTCTTTTTCACATTAGATTCTTCTGTGTTTCAGGGCTTTATGTAACACGTGCTGTGTTCCTTCTGTCTGGAACACATATAGTCTTCCTCTTTTCTTTGTCTCCTACCTTATAACCTTCCTTAAAATTTCAGTTTCAATTCAAGTACTTTTCTAAGCATTTTATTTGATGCTTGTGGTAGATTTAACATACAGTATTACAGTTACTTCTTTTGACACTTTGGGTAACTTGTACTAATACAGTATTACGGTTACTTCTTTTGACACTTTGGGTAACTTGTACTAAAGAGTTGTGGGCAAGTAATTCAGAAGAAGATGTCAGAAATTCACAGGGGACTTCATCTTGCACTCCTAAGGGAAGAAGTGGTTGAGTGAGTCCTTAGCTTTCATCCTCTATTTGAGGTTAGCCATTGTCTTGGGCAAAATGGATTCACAAATGTAAAGTCCACATGCAAGTATCATCAGTAAAGATAGTGAGCGTAAGGGGCAGTGAGTCTTAAGAGTGTAATCTATATCATAGTAGTAGCAGCAGTATTGATGATTCAAGTTAGTTCCCTCGTGGCCTCGTGGTTAGGATTCTGAACTTTCACTGCCATGACCTGGGTTCAATCCCTGGCCAGGGACCTGAGATTCCGTGAGCAGTGTACACACCCTACCCCCTGCCAATCAAATTAAATGTGCTTACTGTGTGCCAGGCATTGTTCTTCATGCTTTATAGCTATCATTTCATTTAATCCTTACAGCAGCCCTTAGAGGAAGTATTGTTATTACTATCTCCATTTTACACATGCAGAAACTGAGGTATGGAGAGGTGAAATCTTTTGCCTGAGGCCACACAGGTACTAAGTGGTAAAACTGGAATTTGATTCCACGGCTTTGATTCTAAAGCCGACACACTCGGTGCCATGTCCTCTTTCCTGTGGGACTTTGCTGATCGTTTAATTTCACAAGGAGGGAGGAGGAGTGTGTAATGAAATCATATGAAACGTATGAATGAGTAGGTGAGAGATCAGGGCCTGGATTTAGGGAATTGTAGTTTTTCTGACAGCTAACCTGCTCTTGGCACACGTTCAGGTTTATGAGAGACACCTCAAGGAACTGAGCATGAAGTGTTGAGTAGTGAGTGTGGTAGTCACTCCACTTTCATGTAGACTGTCAGTACAGACTAGTCAATAAGAAATTCACTAAAACTTCAGCTTTCTATGTGTTCTCTATTGCCTTTATGCTTAGGTTGCATTTATATAATAATACCTTTCTCTGCATTTCGAAGAGATTAGTAATAACTGTTAAAGCCATCTGGGAAAAGAATGGTTGACTTCATTTATTTAATTGTCTTAGCAAACATCTCCCTATAGGGACAGGAAAAAAAGCAGGCTGAAAGACTGATTCAGGACCCAGTCTTACTGTAGTAGGGACCACAGATGGCAAGAGAAGTCATTAAACCTCTCCGCTGGCCATGGAATTTTACATTTCTGGGAATTGTTCTGTAGCCTCTTAGTGACTGATAATCTCATTTTGAGGCTTGAGAACATACGATGGAGCCAGTAGTTTCCTGATGGAACCACCTGAATGCCTGTTCAGAAGCTATTCAGAGAGTGTCTTAACTGAAAAACGTGACCCTTTCCTGTGTGAGCCTGAACAGCAAACATTATCTGAATTCATGCGATCCTCTAGTATTTTCTCCTCCCAGACATACTTACACATTTATAGTCTCTAATTCTGTTTTAAAATATGTATAGTACTGTAGTCTTTCCCCTTCTTTCTACACCAAAGGTCGTTTTCTTTCCCCGAGTTTATCTTGATTGCCATCCTACCACGTATTCCTAGAATGTTTATATATTTCAGTCGTTCCCATGAGTCACATTCTGTTATTTTTCTGGTAAACTTGGGCTCTCATCATGGTCAGTAGCAGCTTTTTGACCTTGACCAAATGACAAAACCTCTGTCTCAGAGTCTCCTTGACTATAACTGGAAGAGGTCAAACCAAACTGTCTACAAAGTTCTTTCAAGTTCTGCCATTCTGTAACTGATTTTAAGGTGACTCAAACCACCTTTCAGAGCTATGTAAGTCTTGCTGAATAAAAGCTTAACTTATATCGAATAGTTAGGACAAAGGAAAATATTCTTCAGCAGAGTTTAAATTCTATAGGCAGGACCCCCCTCACCTGGTTAATAGCTCATTTTTGTCTGTGTGTGTGTTGAAATTTTTATATTGGTGCATGTTTGTTCTTTTGCTATGCCACTGTGACAGCTCATCTCAGGTTATAGTTAAAGAAGTAGTATGGTAGGAATTGGTCATTGTTGTCATACTTCCCAAGTACTTGCTTGCTTACTACTTCCTGAATTTGTGTTATGCAAGTGGCATTAATAAAGTATTCCCCCCCCAGACTTGGTCAGAAATTTCCTTCCAAATTGTGTATTTAATACATAAAAAGTCTCTGTGCCCATTATTTGATGGTATTACAAGAGGTTTAGAGATGTGTAGATTTTAAAATATGTGAAGATAAAAAAAAAAAAGTGAGGATAGTACACAGGGCTTATTCTTCCTCTTAGCAGTGCTGTTTCAAACTCCAATGAGGCTAAAAAAAAAAAACAAAAAACAAAAAAACAATTTCCCAGGGTCTTCTTTTGCAGAATGAGTGTTTTTAACTGCTTCCTCAGATAATCATATGTCAGGGAGTTTTAGGAAATACTGCTTTAGAAAAAAGTACCAGTAAATTTTTACTCATCTACCTCTTTGAGTATAAGACTTAAGAACCTCTCCAGTTTTAATGTTCCATGATTCCAGTTTTTCTTCCTAATGGGCCCCCAGAACTACTTTGAACAGTGTGGTTGGTCCTTAGTTAAGTGCTTTCTCACCATGTTTCTTTGTAGGATGGTAAATTGAAAAAAACCAAGAATAAGGATAAAGATAAAGATAAAAAAGTTCCTGAGCCAGATAGCAAGAAAAAGAAGCCGAAGAAGGAAGAGGAGCAGAAATGGAAATGGTAATATCTCAGCCCTGGGTTAAAATGGTAGCTCTTTGATTCTACAACCTAATGAAACAAGAATGTTGAGTTAGTAAAGTTAATAGCCTAATATTTTGGGGAGGAGGGAAGTACTTGACCGAATCTCTGTGGGCTAACATTCTGAAATAAATCTTGCAAGTTCTGGTGAGACCATTAACTAGCTCTTTCCCTATTGGATCTCAAAACTGGGTTCCACTCTATTGAACAGAGTGAGCTGTAGAAACAGCTATTTTTTCATGTTAGGAACCCTAGCCCATTGTATTGCAAACATTTTCCCTTAGGGTTGTTTTCTTTTCTTTCTTCTTCTTTTTTTTTAATGATATGAGTGTATTTGCCATATAGAAGATTTTAATTTTGATTTATCAGATTTACAAATATTTTCCTTATGGCTCTGTTTCCTTACATCTTGTTTCAAAAGGACTTTATTATTCTACAATTATAAAAATATCCACCCAGGTTTTCTTGTGGAGTTTTTTTTTTTAAACAAATAGGCAATTTCTCCAACTTCATTTATAGAATAATCCATCTATTATTATTAATCCATATATTATTAAATAATAATCATTTCCCTCTCATTTTAAATGCAACTTTATTCATATGCATGTTTCCATACACACCTAGGATTTCTATAATTTACTCTTGTAAAAAAACAAGTAGTGAAAGGAACAGTCTGATAGAAAAATGAGGAAAAGGCAATTCATTAAAGAAAATACATGATTAGCAAGCATCTGAAAATATGATCAACCTCACAAGTAGCAAAGAAAGATGCAAAGAAAAATAATAATACATCGTTTTGTTTAATGTCTCTCAGATTAGGAACAATTAATAAGTATCAAAATACACAAAAACAGGCATTCTTCAGTATGGGAAATGAAGATTCAAACAGTGAAGACTGTCTTCAATCGAGGACAGTTTAGCAGTAACATTACTTCTAGGTGTTTAGAGTTTCGAAATAGATTTATATTTTTAATACTGGCTTTTCTTAAAATTTTAGCTACTATATCTATATTATACATGATTTGTATTTATGTTGAAAAAATTCCAATGATTCAGAGGTATATGATTTAAGAAAAAATGACAGTTCGCTTTCCTTCTTTCTCCCATTCCCATTTTTCTTCTCTAGCTTTGAGGGAAGCACTGTTTGTAGTTTGGTATTAGAGTTCCAGACCCACTGGTACGAATTTACTCTGTGGCTTTTGTAATAGAGAGCAGTAATCTTGCCCAGTACCTCTGAGGAATGAGGAAACATCCATGACCAAGGAGGTGGCTGAGAGGAGCAGAGCCGCAGTGGCAGAAAGGCTCAGCACAGCTAGCTATATGATCAGCATTGTTGGTGTGGACATACATGGGTGAAATGAAGTGTAGGAAAGAAAAAATACAGAGCAAAGGCAATCTGGGCTTCCCTGAGGTCATAAAACTAAAGAACGTGTGTTTTCATTTTTCTCATTTTTCTTTATTTCTTTTTCCTTTGAAACTAATCAGTTTTTAGTGATAGGATATTGAAAGGTTTTTATGACCTCTAATAAAACATTTCTTTTTAAGATGAGATGAAGTGATTATATAAGTCAGGGGCTGTTACTGGGAGTGGTGAGTTAGTAATTTGTCATCTGTTACATCTCTCTGGGTTCTGTGGTTGGGTGCTCAGTAAGTTTGTTGAGTGAGCAAGTTCATTTCTTTGTCATCACGTGCTCTCTCCCCCTTCCTTTGGAGCCCTGGCTCTTTTTGGGCCTGGAGGCAGATATACTTTTGTTCTGGTCCAGCCTTGTGTGTGTGAAATAAAGTATCCTTGAAGGGTCTAATAGCCTAATTTTGGTTCTGTGGTTGAAATTCTTATCACTGTTAACACATGTTAATTCTGAGAGCCTGTGACCTGTGGTTTTTATTCTTGTTTTGGTTTAAGTGGAATCACTGAAGACGGTAGGTTTGGGGCTGAGTTTTGCACGTACCACTGCAAGTTTAACGGTGGAGAACAGGAATGACTGACCTCTCACTGAGGGCTTGTGCTTTCTTGCTGCTCCTGTAGGCTTGCTTCTTAGACTCTGAAGTCAGTGGTCCTGTCCTCAGTGACGTTCCCTGACAGCCCAGTCAGGGAACCTAAATGGCAGACACTAATTTTTACTACTCCTTTTGCTGTCTCACTAAAACAGTTACACCGTTTACCAGTTTGGCAAACGTACAGGTCGTTTGCTTCAGGGCAAAGAAGACTTGTTCATCCTGCCAAAAACAAGCCAACTGTGAGCCTTTCCCCCTCTCCTTAGTGATTGTGAGGATGGGAAAATGGTCAGGATCCCTGTGGGTTTCTTCACTGTGTCATGTTTTCTCTCCAGAAACAGTGGTAGAAGTGGTGGCAGTATGCTGAGGCTCAATCATAAACACTTCTTAAACCCCGCCCCCCCCTTTTTTCTTCAGAATTTATTTTTAATTGGAGGATAATTGCTTTACAATATTGTGTTGGCTTCTGCCATATATCAGCCTGAATCAGCCGTGGGTACACACACAGCCCCTCCTTCCTGGGACCTCCCTCCCCACCCCACCCCTCTAGCACCAGATTTGAGCTCCTGTGTTGTACAGCAAGTCCCCGCTGGCTGGCTGGTTTACGTCCAGCAGTGTGTGTGTGTCGGCGCGCCTCTCTGCATGCGCCCCACCCTCTCCTCAGCCCGTGGTGCCCACAGGTCTCTTCTCAACGTCTGTGTGCCCATTGTTGCCCTGCAGAGAGGTTCAGCAGCACTCTCTTTCTAGATTCCATACATATGTGTTAGTAAACGGTATTTGTCTTTCTCTTTCTGACTTAACTTCACTCTGCATAATAGGCTCTAGGTTCATCCACCTTATTTGAACAGAGTCAAATGAGTTCCCTTTTTTTTTAATTTATTTTTTTAAATTTATTTTTTAATTGAAGGATAATTGCTTTATGGAATTTTGTTGTTTTCTGTCAAACACGAATCAGCCATAGGTATAAATATATTCCCTCCCTCTTGAACCTCTCTCCCATCTCCCTCCCCATGCCACCCCTCTCGGTTTATACAGAACCCCTGTTTGAGTTCCCTGAGACATACAGTGAATTCCCATTGTCTATTTTACATATGGTAATATAAGTTTCCATGTTACTCTCTCCATGCATCTCACCCTCTCCTCCCCTCTCCCCATGGCCATAAGTCTGTTTTCTATGTCTGTTTCTCCATTGCTGCCCTGCAAATAAATTCTTCAGTACCATCTTTCTAGGTTCCATATATATGTGTTAGTATATATTTATCTTTCTCTTTCTGACTTACTTCATTCTGTATAATAACCTCTAGGTTCATTAACTTCATTAGAACTGACTCAAATGTGTTTCCTTTTTATGGCTGAGTAATATTCCATTGTGTGTATGTACCACAACTTCTTTTTCCATTCATCTGTCAGTGGACATCTAGGTTGCTTCCACGTTCCGATGAGTTCCTTGCTATGGCTGAGTAATACTTAAAAGCTTTTTGCACAGCAAAGGAAACAATAAACAAGATGAAACGACATCCTTCAGAATGGGAGAATATAATTACAAATGAAACAACTGACAAAGGATTAACCTCCAGAATATACAAGCAGCTCATGCAGCTCAGTACCAGAAAACTAAACAACCCAATCAGAAAATGGGCAGAAGACCTAAACAGACATTTTTCTAAAGACTTATAAATGGCCAACAAACATGAAACGATGCTCAGTGTCACTCATTATTAGAAAAATGCAAATCAAAATTACAGTGAGGTATCACCTCACACTGGTCAGGATGGCCATCGTTAAAAAAAAATCTATAAACAATAAATGTGGGAGAGGGTGTGGAGAAAAGGGAACCCTCTTGCACTGTTGGTGGAAATGCGAGTAGATGTGCATTCCATATTCCTATATCCACTATGGAGGGCAGTATGGAGATTCCTTAAAAAATGAGAAATATGACCCCATTTTTAACTGTTACCCATCATAATTTTAGAGGGTTTCAACTCTGCTTTGAGTTGAGTATACTTTTGTGTCAGGGTTGAGCTGCTGGAACATTAGATGATTCTTCATGAAAAGATCTAGAAACTGGGGAGTTTGTTGATGGGGTTAAATGTGATTAAATACATGTTTTTCCTAACTTTTTTGATGAACCGTCGAGAACCGTCGATGGGGGCCTAAAAGGCCAACATTGTTATTTTTATTTCTATGCTAGTAGTTGTTGATCCAGTGATATCAGCGTGTGTCATAGGATATGTTCTTTGTCTTTGAACTGAGGCTTAGTATTGAGTGAATCTCTTAATTTGCTTAAATGCTTAAGTTGTCATGAGCCCTTAGGATGAACATGATGGAATTAGGAGGAATTATAAAAAGTTGGAATCTTAATTTTAAAACACTGGAGTTGGGAATTCCCTGGCAGTCCAGTAGTTTGGACTCCAAACTTTGACTGCCTGGGAAATCTCATGGACAGAGGAACCTGGTGGGTTACAGTTCATGGGATCATATCGGGTCGGACACGACTTAGTGACTAAATCACCACCACCACCACTTTCTCAAAGGGTGGTTTTCCCTGTACCTTCACCCAACATCTCCATTCCCAGGAGGCCTTTTCCTTTGTATCAGTGAATAAAATAGTGCCTCCCTCATGTACACGATTTTGGCTTACTTTTACACCATTGTGTTAAAACAGCTGTGATCACTGCTAAATAATGAGCTCATATATTCAATTTCTTTGAACTAAACTGTTGAAATGTGTTTTACTCCATTCACCTGAGTAATCCACCATCTTTGTTGTAAGCATTGGCTTTTTCAAAGTGAGGGATGCTAGTTTTTTTGACCCAGATTTTGAATGTGGGAACCAGTCATTCCAGGGAACCAGTCATTCCAGAGCACCAGTCAGTTGAGCAGATGATTATTTTGGTATTTAAATGGTGATAATCTCAATATCAGGTAAAGTGATCACTAAATGAGGTTGTACTTTGTCTTTTAAAGGTGGGAAGAAGAACGCTATCCTGAAGGCATCAAATGGAAATTCCTAGAACATAAAGGCCCTGTATTCGCTCCACCATATGAACCTCTTCCAGAGAACGTCAAGTTTTACTATGATGGTGAGTTGTTCCAAGGTTGTCCAATTCTTGGCCAAGGAAAGAGTGTGCTTCTATTTAGGAATAGAAAGTGGGGAAGCATCTTGTTCTGTATTATCCTTCTTGTTTATCTCATTTTGTTCTCATGTCATTGTATGGTTTGGGGAAAGGGCCATCAGGTGTTAACTCTTAAAAGCCCATTTGGTACAGGAAAAGTTCTGTGAGAAAGGAGCTGTCTCATCTCCCTTGTTTCCCTTTGAGGCGTGGTCTCAAAAAGGTCCAGCTACATAGGTCACAGCCAGCGCTTGGTCCACAAGCTAAATGTTTTTTATCTGAATGACGTTTCTAAGGAGCTACTCTTTGTAAGAGTTCTTAGAAAAGACTGACTTGAATGGTAGTATTTTATTTTAGTGATAGAATGCAAGCTCACAAGCTGTTCACTGCTAGAAATAGAATCAGTGCTTGGTTGGGGACTAGCTAATCAGTCTGCCCTCAGCCTCTGGGTGGCTGGCAGGTGTCTGTCACTCACTCCGTGCTGCAGTGCTGCGCTGGTGTCCTTTGTGCGGTCAAGTCTGATGAGCTGCTCGGAGGAAACATCCGGCCTGGTTCTCTTAGAGCACTCTTAGACCTCTGTCCTTGGGTTGAGAATTTGGAGAGTAGTCCTTGATGCCCCCTAATGGCGTATAGCAGTATGCAGAAGGTAATACTCAACTGATTTCCCTCATTCCAAGAGTTTTCTCCAGAAATGACCAGAGCATTATTCCTCAAACTCTCATATGCTTTAGATTTACCAGGTGGATCTGGGCTCATTTAATTGATATTGAGTGATCATGGGTGCTTCTGAACCAAGTGGTCTGCTGACCGGACTTTGAGAAACTGAGCCAGGAACTGCTGAAAACCACGTCTCTGTCCACCAGCAGTGGTCTTGGGCTGTGGGTGCTTAAAGGTCAAGGGGTAGTAGTTTATACTGAAAGGCTGGGTCTTGCAAATGAAGAACATGTCAAACTTGTAAAACTGGAATTCATTGTTTTAAACTGTATTTATTCAACGTGCTGTATTCAGACATCAAGACCCAGCAGTGGACTATACTGACGCATCTCTGATCTCATGGAATGTGTGATCTTGCAGGATTTCATAGCCTCATTCTGACACGTGTTGACTGGAGAGCATGGGACATAATTCTACCTTCAGCCTTCATAGTGGTCATTCTGGAAACTGCAATGTGACTCAAAGCCAAAACTCCAATGTTGAGAAAGAGCGTTAGCTAATCATGAAAGTGCAGAGATTCTATAGCCCTAGTATAGGTTTACCTTTAGAGTTGAACTTTCAGAGACTCAGTTGGTGAAGCCTAACTTTGAGGTCCAAAGTGATTTGAAGGAAAGCTGGGTTCCTTTCTTTAGCCTTTGGGTTTCCCTTACTTTCAGAGATGGGAAGCCAAGGCTAACTAATCATCACAGGTCATCCTGGTCCCTTCTACATTCTTTCCTTATTGGAGCTCCAGCTCCAGGGCTGTCACATTTTCTCATTTGGTCTTTCTCGAATCTCTTCCCTTTGATTAGGTAAACTCCCACACTACAGTAAGTCAAGAAGTTGTATTTTACTTACTACCAAGTTGATACTGTCAGTCCTGCCTACTCTCTAGGGAAGAGAATTCTCAGACTCCTTTAGCGCCTGCCAGGGAAGGAGGGGCATGGGCTGGCCGAAGCAGTGAATGACCTCTGAGAACCTCCAGTTTTCAGCTCTGACTCAGCAGTTTCTTATTCCTGGAGCTCAGCCTTTCCTACAAAGCACTGCCATTGCCAGGAACCTCTAAGTCATCCTCCTACCCTTCTACTGCTGGGAGCTGTCATTTCATCTTTTGGCAGCTCATCTAAAACAGGAGGCGTCAAAATTGCTTTCTCTATTGGGACAGAATTCAGCAGAATTTCCAAGGATACCAAACATATGCGAGAATAGCTTACATTCTTTCTTGCCTTTTATTTTATGTCATTTGTATTATTCTTAGTGACTTACTGGTTTCCTTTATATCAGAAGCATGTTACATCTTAACTGGCAACACTGGTTCAGACTTGAGTGAATTCTGAAGTGCAGGAACCTCTTAAAATGCCAGCCTGTCCTTCCCAAACTGTGTTGTCTTTGGAAGGAGCTAGAAGGTTTAGAGGGGAAGTGGCGCCACCTGTTGGCCTTTTAAAGTTATAGATTTCAAGCAGGTTCTTTCTGTCTACCCTGAAAGTTTCTGTTTAGAGCGGCAGTTCCCTGTACCGTCCCTGCAATCAGGGATGAAACTGTCTAACCATCATGAGATGAGATGTCTTCTGAGTTTTGAAATAAATGGAATTTGGGTTAAGTTTTAGTTTTCTGTAATAAATGGGAAAATCCTTGGTAAATTACTAGTATCTATGTACAGGTAAGTCAGTGGAAAAATGTGTATAATGCCAAGAACCTTGGTCATCCCTGTGTTCTGGATGATTCCTGTTTCCCTGAAAGAGGCAGCTTTATAATAATGCCTGTGTTCCAGGGCATCTCAAACTCTGGTGTGTACACTAGCCACCTGGGCGGTCTCATTAGAATGTACTTTCTGGTTCATTTGGTCTGGGGTGGGGCCTGAGATTCTACATTTCTGCCAAACTCATGTGATGTCAGTACTGCTGGTCCATGAACCATACATTGAGAAGCAAAGTTCTAGAGGAAGGTCTTATTTAGGTTTTTTCATATGGGATATCTGGGCTTGCCTGCTATGAATATATATTTTTTTAATTCATATTCCACCCACGTAACTTTGAAGAAGAAAGATGCCTATTTCTTTTCCCCACAATTCCTTTCTTCCACTCCCTGTCCTATCCCTTCCTCCCCTTCTTGAACAGAAGCTGTTTAGCTTAGCAGTGGCAGGAGTCCCTCTGAGGATTTGATTTTTAAAAACCATTGAAGAGGTGTAAAGGACCCTGCTTGCTGAAAGGAAAAGGAAGAGTGACTGGGCCTCCCCCAGGTCATCCCTGTCCTGAGCAGGCTCCTGGGAACAATTTACGGGCATAGTCTCCAGAGAATGACCCAGGTAAATATCTGCTAAAGGGAAGGAAAACTCATACAAGTAGATGTTAATCGATAATACTGTTTTTGTTATTGTTGTTGCCACGCGTCACCAGACCTTTATATATATATACCTTCAGAAGGTAAATAAACCATTATGAAAGAAGATGTCTCCAGAACCTCAGTGTTTAGCTCAGAGCATGAATACAGCACCTCATTTTTCGGAACCACTTTTGTTTCTAGGTAAAGTCATGAAGCTGAGCCCCAAAGCGGAAGAAGTAGCTACGTTCTTTGCAAAAATGCTCGACCATGAATATACTACTAAGGAAATATTTAGGAAAAATTTCTTTAAAGACTGGAGAAAGGTATTGTAGCCCATGTATTAATATCCTAGCCCCTTACAAAAACATTGATCTCTACTACTAAGTAATAAATGGTAATTTTACCAAAAGAATTCCCTGATGTACAATTTGAGTTTTATGAATTTTATTGTATTGAAAGTTGGGGTTTTTTCTCCTCCTTGTTCATTTACTGTATTATAAAGGTTTTCTATACAATGAGAATAACTGTGTTTCTTTTCCTCTTGGCTCTCCTGTGGCTATAGCGGAGAGAGTTTATCAGATTAGGTCAAACAGAAACCTCAGCTCCAGTTGAGCAAAGAAAAAGTTTGTCTCTCGGGACTGCCCTCTGTCTGCTATTGCAAAGAGACATGCATTAGCATTGTCCTGTTCCCTTTTGATTCATGCTCTTTAACTCTAGGTACTTTCTGCTCTCAAAACCACATATCCTTTGTCTGCCTAGATGATTTTAAACAATTTTCTTGTTCTTAATTTGGAGAATGTGAACAGAAGCTGAGCTGAAGCTCACTTTCTGAATAGCTATAAAAATAAGATTTAATAAGTGAATAGAAGAAGGATGTTTCTAAGAGAGAAGGAGTATGGGAATGTTTCTCTTGTCACTAAATTATATATATATTTGTGTTTCTCCAGCCATGGTATTCATGCTTAGGAGATTGTGGCAATGTGCTAAGGAATCTTAAGAAATGACATGAGAGTTACCATTTTCAATGTTGTTATCCTAAATCTACCACATGCATATTTTATAATAGAACAAGGAAATAAAATTGTTTCTTTTTTCCCCCCAAAACTCTCAAGTTTAGATTAACTGCCTCACTAGATAACTCTTGGACTGAGAACATGATACTTTGCTGTAATTGTGGAGAAACTTGAGGGCTTATTAGTTTATTTACTGTCTTTTTTTGTCTTCCCCTTTTCTTTTAACTAGGAAATGACCAATGAAGAGAAGAATATTATCACCAGCCTCAGCAAATGTGATTTTACCCAGATGAGCCAGTATTTCAAAGCCCAGACAGAAGCTCGGAAACAGATGAGCAAGGAAGAGAAACTGGTACTGCAGAATTTCTTAAACCCCTGGAGAATTTTGAGATAGTGATTAGTTTAATTTTCTTCTTGGTTCTTACAAAACATCTTTGATTTTAATGATTTCTACACTAAAGATTTAAGATTTTTGGTCTAGTGAAGTCTTGATTTTCTTAAGGGTTTCACGTAGACTAAAAATTGTGAATAGGTATTATGTTTAAATGGCTCAGTATGAGCTGGTGTTCTGTTAACCTAAAAGCCAGCCAGTGGCCTCCAGTAATACAGTGTTTAAGGAAGAGTAGATCTGACCTACAGTGGCTCCTAGATGTTAGGGACTTAAGACGTGTAAAATCATATTGGCTATATGTGTACACACACACACACACACACACACTCTCTCTCTCTCTCTCTCTCTCTCTCTCTCTCTCTCTCATCTGTTTTTAGCCACACTCATCCAACAACTTCATCTTCTAGCTGTGGCCAACCTCATTTCTGAAGGATCTTTCTAGTATCTGACTGGGATGTCACTTTCCTCTAGCATATTGGTAGGCAAACTATAAATAGGCGACTTGTTTTTGTACAAAGGTTTTATTGAAACATGCCACATCTTACTTGTTTACCTGTTATCTATGGTCACTTTTCATTCAGCAGTGGCAAAGTTGAGTAATTACAACAGACACCATATGGCCTTCAAGCCTAAAACATATTCTGTCTAGAAAAAGCTTGCCATTCCCTGATCTAGAGGCTCAAGGCTGGAGTTTGACTTTTTGGGCTCAAGGCTGGAATGAAAAAAAACAGGTTAGCAGAGGTCTGGAAGTTAAGTATTTTAAGGGATTCTTATCACTTCGAAGTCTTAAATTTCAGTGTCTTAGACTTACATGTTTATGTAATTTGGGCCATTGTCTCTCTAGCTCACTGTTTGAGAGCACCTGTCTGGCCTTTCATTGAAACAACCAGGAGCCACTACAGAGCTGGTAGGAATGACGCTGCACCACACCTGATCAGTCCCAGTTTGGTCATCTCAGTATTCCAGACTAGTGAGATTTATTTTACTTTTCACTCCAGGGGTGTTTTTCAAACTAAAATCCATGTCAGGAGGTTTTATAAGTACCACCATGTCGGAGCCCTGCCAAGGATACCTGTCACCAGCAAGTTGTGAATCATTATCTAGGCACAGGCAGCAGGACTTAGTTTAATCAATATGAGGGAAGGGTTAGCACAGGGTAAGGAGGCTCCAAATCTTTATGTTTTTTGAAAGAGAAAAGACCGCAGTGTGAAATATATGTACCCATGTACTAGTAAAGAATCAATAGCAGATTTCTTTGTGCTGGAAACCCTGTGTGAAATAATGTTCATATGGGAATTTTATTATATTTAAGCTTTTAAAAAACTCTGGTTTTCCAGGAAGTCCTTGATGGTCCAGTGGTTAGGACTCAGCTTCTACTGCAGGGTGCCTAGGTTTGATCCCTGGTCAGGGAACAAGATCCCACAAGCCATCCAGTGAAAAAGAAAAGAAAAATTTCATAGGTTTTCCTTTATCTGAATTTGTTTCTTAGTGATTTTTAGACTTTTCTCTACCTAGACCTGTTCTTGCACAAGAGCTAAGAAATGTGTAAGTAGAGAACAGTAGATTGAATCCCCTTTGAGTACTTTTTGGCTGTCTTCCAGAAAATCAAAGAGGAGAATGAAAAATTACTGAAAGAATATGGCTTTTGTGTTATGGATAACCACAGAGAGAGGATCGCCAACTTCAAGATAGAACCTCCTGGGCTCTTCCGTGGCCGCGGCAACCACCCCAAGATGGGCATGCTGAAGAGACGAATCATGCCTGAGGATATAATCATCAACTGTAGCAAGTGAGCACAGTTCGTCCTTTGGCCAGAAATGAAGTGGGGGGCTTCCTTTGTTTTTGGTAGTTTGGATTCCCCACCTCCCCCCCCATTACAGAAGACTGTTTGGGAGCAGTGTGGTATTTCTGTGTATAGATCTCCAGGTGCTTATCTTGTATTGATTGGCGAGGAGGAAACTTGGAAATACACGCTCACAGATTCATCCACTTCCAGTGATGAAAAGTGAAATTGGTCATTACTTCTCACCTCACTGCTCTACTGCTTTATTTCCACAGAGATGCCAAGGTTCCTTCTCCTCCTCCAGGTCATAAGTGGAAAGAGGTCCGACATGATAACAAGGTTACTTGGCTAGTCTCCTGGACAGAGAACATCCAAGGTTCTATTAAATACATCATGCTGAACCCCAGCTCACGAATCAAGGTAAGTGGTAGCCAAGAGCTGCACCAGTTAGTGGGACTGATAATCTCTTGTCATTTTGTTTGAAATCTGATGTCCTCAGCCTCTAGAATCACTTTGACAAATTGAAAACCATCCCCACCCACAAAAAAAGGGTACTTTTCATAGTTAGCATTATCTGGTGACCTTCCTAAGATGTTTCCATTTTCTGCATCACATTGTAATCCTATTTATTAATTTTCAAATACTAATTGAAATCCATGTATGGGCCTGGCACAGTGTAGGCATGGTGCTGGGAATTACCTTGGTAAACAAGACGGACACACACAGTCCCTGCTTCTCCATCGCTTACTGTCCAGTGGTCGGAATGATGAAGACTGTGGTGAATGTATGTTGGTTTCTACAGCTGGTTCTCTTCCTCTTCCTCACCTTTCTGGGCTCTGAAGAAAGGAAGATAATTACTCTGAATCCAGAAAGAGTTGTAAAATCTGGAGTCTTACATACTTTGTCTTCCTAAGGCTTCATCTGAGTAGATTCCACCAGGACTTAATGGGATAATGTCTGGGAAAGCATATCTTAAACTGTTGTGTACACATGTGTTGCTGTTTATTGATACTGTTCTTGAAAAGAGAAAACTCTCTTGGAAGGACTATCAGTCAGCCTGTTAGGCATACCCTGCTTGAATGAGTCCCTCAGATATACTGTGAAAATATGAATGGCAACTTAAGAGATGAGTTCCGCAAAAAAACAGTCAGGGAATTAGTTCTGTGTAGACTGACTGTTTACATGCAGGGCACTGAGGGTAAAGCCCCTCTTAATCTTGGTTTATAGTTTATCAAACACTTGTTAAGACTGAAAGCCACAGCTCAAAAGGCCATGTGTCTTTTCAAGACCAGACTGCACATTTTCTAGCTTATAGTCCTGTGTTCTAATGAAAAATGCCCTTGTATATATGTTCTTCAGTGTAATTGGAAAATGACACTGTTCTTAGTTTAAAGTGAGCATAGAATCAGAAAGAGAACCCCCATGGCAAGTAAAAGCCAAATCACTTTTAGAAACATGTTATATTCCTGTTCTGAAATATCACAGAGCTATAGGGTGACCAAGGTAGATGAAAAGTGGTTTTAGCCCTCAAAGAACTTATGGCCTGCTGGGCAAATTGGGTAAGAATTCAGTTGTATTAGAAAGATAAATGTTAAATGCTTTGGATAAAGGGAGCAGTTATTCCCAGCAGTTAGAGAATAGGAACAACTTTTTAAAGGAAATTTGGTTGCAGTTAGGTCTCAAAAGAGAGGTATTTCAGAGAGCATTGTGTCATGTGGACAGAGAGAAGGGGTGTGAAAAGGAGTAACAAAAGGAATTATCAAGTGATGGTTGAGTAACATTGTAAATATGCTAAATGTCACTACTGTTGGGGTGAATTTCATTTTTTTTTTTTTAATTTCATATTACTCACACAGTAAAAAAAAATTATCAGTATAAAGGATACTGGATTACTGTTAAAAGTATTTTCATGTAAGTTGACATTTGATTCTTTTAATAACCATACCAGACATGTACTCATGCCACCATCTTACTGATAAATTTAGTCTCTGAGAGACCTGATTGTGGCCAACCTTAAATGCCACACTAAAGTGACTAGACCATGTTCTGCATTTGATGGAGAACCATTGACTTGGAACAGAGGTGTGTCTTGATCCAATATGCAGGCGTCATGCCTAATCACATTAGTGAATGTAAACTGTTGGCAATGCCGCAGAGGATGCAGGGTACCGTTGGAGAGTATACCAGACCACCTGATCTGGCTTCCAGGGCCTAGGAAGGGCCTTTTTGAGGAAGTGACCTTTAAAATGAGACTTGCAGGGTGAGTAGGATTTATCCATGGAAAGGATAGGGGACTGGGCATTTCAGACAAAGAAAGTAGCCTTTTGAAATCCCTGAAGTATTGAACTTGGTGGTCTCAAGACTGTAGTTTGAGTGTAATGATCAAGAAAGATACGATGAGGAGGGAACTGGAGACAGGGATGCAGGCCAAATCTTAAGATTCTTCCTTCAATTTTTTTATATTATCTAAATCCAGTAGGAAGCCACTGGGTTTTAAAGGGTAAAGATGCCAGATTTGTGTTTTTAGAAACCTGATATAATTGATCATTCTGACTGCTGCTCCGTGGAGACTGGATTGAACCCAGGAAGAAGGGAGACCAAGAGGAGGCTGTTGCAGTTCTCCAGCCAAGAAGTGGCGGTGACGTAGGGTGGTGGCAGCAGGGGGCCAGAGAGACGAACAGGTGCCAAACTCGAGGATTGTGCGCTCTTTCTTCACACTGATTGTAGGCGAGTCTCTGGGGTTGAGAGCCTTGTTAGATAAGCGGAGTGGAGTTCCCTAAGGGCAGAGAGCCAGCCAATTCATTCAGACAATATCCAGAGGCCTCCTATGCGCTGTAAGGATTTATGCAGGTTTCTGAGTAATGGTTATGGTAGTAAACCTAGAAAGTCACATAGATGTAGGCCCTGCCTAGAACCTCATATCCCTTGCTGAGTGGCCCACTCCAGCAGTTGGGTTGCAATCCTGAGTCATGAAAAATTGTTAAAGGCTTGGAGAGTGGTACTGTTGAGGAGAAAATAAGTGTGATTTCTTAAGCTTTCTGCCTGTCCTCAGTTATCTCCGACTCAGAATAGATCTTCAGAGGTTGAGGTTTTGATAGTGTGTTAAATAGTTTTTTTTTTAAGTGCATTGCCAGCAGGAGATAAGAGTCTCTTTTTAGATAAAAGTGGAAAGATACAAGCAATAAGGATTTTATTTTCAATGAAATGTTTCCAACATACAAAAATAGTTACAATAATCATTCATATAGCGTCCCCCCATCTGCCCGTGTCAAACCTTAACATCATGTCCTATTTCTTCAACTGCTTCATTTCATAAAAAGTATTGTGATTCTAGAAAAAAATTATAGTTATGTGATGTGACAGAGGTGTTAGCTATCACTACTGTGGCTATTACATTGTGAAATAAATGTATCAAATTAAAAAGAATCACAGGGAGAGCCTTAAAAAAAAAATGACTTCCCAAATAAAATACTGATGTCCCTGTCTGCTCTGAGCTAATTAAACCAGAATCTCCAAAGAAGAGTCTCCAACAAGAAAACCTTATATGCTAGGTGAAAAACATTTCTATCCCCTCAAGAATGTATTCATATCAGGGCTTCTATAGTGTGTGTACATACACTCTAGATTTTATAATTATAAAATTATATTTATATTAAAAAGTATTGTGATAAACATAGCTGAAGCTCACTAGGTAACATTTATCTCTTTCCCTGGAGAATACTGAAATGAATTTAATGTTTTCATCCTTGTGTATTTTTACTACATTATGTGTCCATGAACACCATGTAGTACTGTTTTAAGAGGTTTGATTTAAAATTAGATATTTATTGAGATCATTTTGCAACTTATCTCACCACCCTTTGGTTTTGAGAGTTTATTATCTTGATACATATTTCTAATTTACCCATTTTTATTTGCTACATAGTATTCTATTTTATAAAAAGTCATCTGTTCTCTTGTCAGCAAACATTTAATTAGAGTTTATAGTCATTTCCTAATATAAATAGTGCTGGAATAAACACATTTTCCTTGTGTATATAGATGAAAATTTCCTTTAAAGATTCTTTATTAGATATTTCCAGATTGTTCCCTAAAGTACTGGAACAAATTTACCTCACCACCATCCTCCCAACATTGTGCTCAAGTTTCTCTTTTTTCCATATCTCTGCCATCGTTTCTAAAATTTTACTCTTTAGAAGATGTTTGAATCTATGATCCATTAGAATGTATTTCTGTATATGGTTTGAGGTTGAGATCCAATATATTTTTTCCTAATGCGTAACCTGTTGCCCCAGAACAAATTAGTTGTGTTTTCCTCTCTCTCATATATCACATTTCTACATGTATGTCATATTGTTTCTGGGCTCTCTGTCCTGTTTGTCTGTTTCTTTATCAGTAGCACACTGTCTGACGTAATGTAGCTTTATGAAGCCTTACTATTGAGTAGGACAAGTTTTCTTTGCCTCATTCTTAAACTTTTCTTTGCTCTCTGCTTTTTCACATTAATTTTGAGATAAATTTGTCAAGTTCTAATGAAGGCTGTTGAGTTTTTTTTTTTTATAGGATTGCATTGAAACTACAGATTTTTTAAAAAATATGTACTTTATTTATTTCGCTTCACTGGGTCTTAGTTGCAGCACGCTGAATCTTTAGTTGAGGCATGTGAACTCTTAGGTGCAACGTGCGGGATCTAGTTCCCTCACCAAGGATCAAACCCAGGACCCCCTGCATTCTGAGCACAGAGTCTTAGCAATGGACCACCAGGGAAGTCCTGAAATTATAGATTAACAGTGGTGAGATATTGAGATGATTTTATTGAATCTTCCCATCCATGAACCTGTTACATGCCTCTCCATTAATTCATGTCTTTGAATATATCCTTCAATATTATGTCCTAATTTTTTCCATAGAAGTTTTACACATGTTTAAAATCTTTTCTAAGAGGGCTTATAGTTTCTTGTGCTATTGAATTTCAAGTATTTGTCACTACTACATTTTTGTTTGTTATTACTGGAATAGTAATGCTGTTGATTTTTTTAATATTGATCTTCTATCTAGCAACTTTGCTGAACTCTTATTCTAAAAATGTCTGTGTCTTCTGGAGTTTCTATATAGACAGTTAAGTGACCTATAAATAGAGACAAATTTTTACTTATTTCCTATACATGTATATATATGTGTGTGTGTATATATATATATATATATATATATTTTTTTTTTTTTTTTTAAGTACAGATATATTTTTAAAGATACTCAGACTAGACTGTCAATCCTAGGACTTTATTTATTTTAGAAAACTCTGAGCCATCATATCTTCCACAGTTTCTAGATCATTCCTTTGCATTTTATTTCTTTTATCTCTTTAAGTCTGATCTTCATTAGGGGAAAGTTCTCAAGGACTTAATTCTTTTTTTTTTTTTTTTTTCCAGGGACTTACTTCTACTCACTAATTCTCTATTTGATTATATCTAATCTAAAATTTACCCCTCCTGTAATTTGCTTCAATTATATTTTTTCAGGATTTCTAATTATTTTTATTTCAAATTTACTTGATTTCATTTCATTTAAGGCATGTGCTTATTTTATCACTTTTGGAGTCCTTTTTTAGTAGATTTTTTTTTCTCCTGAAAGTCTTTGTTCTTTAAAAATATTACCCGAAGTGAATTCATGTACTAATTATTTTTGTTGATAGTTCTTCTAACCCATTTCCTCATGTATTTTGGAATTAGTTTGTAAGCCCTTTTGACTGGGAAGTAGTTTTTGTTTTTGTATCATTCCCTTTGCTCTGTACTTCTCTGCTCACTCCTGTCTTAGAGGGCATCTAGCCCAGCTCAGCCCAAGTTGACACAGCCCCTGGCTTCAGGTTGCGTATAAAACGATAAGGCCCCCTTTTGCATGAAGCACTTCCATTGCTATGTGTTTAGAGGAAAGTGGTGATTAAAGCATGAATTCATTGACCTGATCTGACCCAGAGGTCTATAAAGAGTACATTTTTGTCAAAGAGGGTAAAGGGTGGTAATTGGTGGTTTTACTTCATGGAAGACTTTGGGTCCAGTTTATAGGAGGCTACCATCATGGGGCACACCTTTCTGCTCAGCCTCCTGAGATTTCTCCTAAGATTGATTGCTTGTTTTTGTATCTATATTTTGTTCATTCACTTCTCCCATGTAATATTGCTAGACCTTTCCACTCCATCTCTGCTCCATCAAGGAATTTAACTCAAGTATGATGTGACTTATGGATTTTTGATAATTGAAAATTTTTGGTTTGTGAAGGGTAAAAAGCAGAGCTGAAATGTGTCCCTCTGATGTATCCTGCCTTTGCCGCTTTCTAGAAACTTGGATTGGTCTACTTGCAGTCATAACCAGGGTTACAGTACTTCCAGTCTCACAGGTCATTGAAAGGATCAAGACTTTTGAGAGTCACAGTAACGCACAGTCCAGCTACTGATAAGATTGTCCTGAGCTCATTCACATCTGTGTGTGCTCGTCTCGGTTTGTTCTGCTTTTTTCTCCCAGGATTTCCATTAAACAGACATCTTCTTGCAAGTGTTTCCATTCCTTTCTTCTTCCACTCTGTACTTGGTACCCATAGAATCTGAAATGACAGGGGAAGTGATAGCTCTATGGAACCTGTGTTTTCAACAAAACTCTCTGATCCCAGATAAACCATGAGGACTGCTTATAGTGGGTCAGCCACTAAGTCCAACCTCTGCCAAGCATTATCTGGTCTTATAAACTGAGGAAGTCAGCCTTAGTAAAATTAAGTCTCCTCAAACCAGTTTTAACTTTACAAATAAAGTTCATAATTTTACTTGTAAATGAAGTATAGCAACCTTCAGGATCACTGTTGCTATCACATTGCATTCAGTCATATTAAAATATTCTCAGTGCCAAATACACATCTCTGCTTTTTCTCTTTAGAATCTATAATTCTGGGGTTTCAAAGATGTATGTGTCTACAACCTTTTAAATGTAACCATCTGGGGATTACAGGCTGGATTGAAGAAAAATGCCTTTATAAAACTTTATAGTCTTGGGAAGCTCTGATTTTGGTGAGTTTTATTAGAAGGCGAAAATAAGATGTGCTTATTTTAAAAAATTACATTCTGAACCTGACTTTTTAGTATATAGTTCTAAATTTTAAAGCGTAAAAGAGCTAGAACATAAAGCTTCTAGATGATGTCATGGAAGAACATCTTCATGACCTTGGAGTAGATTTCTTGGACACAGAATGAACAATAAACAGTTGAAACAGTGAACTTCATTTAAAAACTTTTGTTCAACAAAGGACACTACTAAGAAAACAAATATACAGGTAACAGGGAGAAAATATTTGCAACATGTATAGCTGACAAAAGGCTTATATTCTGGATATACAGAGAATTCGTATCATTCAATAATAAAAAAGATAAAAATCCTCATAATGAAAGAGCAAAAGTTGGATGCTTTAGAAGACAGAGGAATGGCCAATAAAAAAGCACATGAAAGAGTACTACTCATCATCACTATCAGTAGAATGCAGATTTAAGCCACAATAAGCTACTATTGCCAGTTCTAGGTATTTCTGCTGCAAATAAAATGAAAGCATATGTCCACAAAGACTGTACAGCAATGTTCATAATGCCATATTTATGCGAGTCCAAAATCGGAAACATCCCAGGAGTCCATTGTCAGAATAAAGACAGTATAGTGTAGTCAGACACATTAGGGGTCATCATAGAATATACCATATATACACATATGAGGGAACTTTCTGGATTGACAGAAATATTCTCTTAACTTGATGGGGTGTAGGTTACATGGATTATGGATTGTCAAAACTGATCTAACTGTATATGTAAAAATGTGTAACATAAACTCTTTTGAGAAGATTTAGAGTGAGAGATTGAAAGGAAGTATTAAAAGAAAAAATACTACCTATATCTGAAAAGGATTTGAATCTATAAAGAACTCTATAAATCAATAATAAGACCAATATATTTAAGAATGGACATGTACGGAAGGCTGGTTAGGTTTTATTTTTAAACATGGTATAATACCTAGGGCCAGTTTATTGTCTTTTGTTTAAATTACGTGTGTTTGGGGTTCAGATTGCCATTCACTCTCTGAATTCTATTCAGGGAAGCTGAACACTGCAGGGATAAGCATACTTCCTAGAAGCCAGCCTTCTCCTGTTAGACCTAGTTCAGTTCAGTTGAGCTCAGTCGGGTGGCTTCTCCCATCACTCCCATCTCTCTGTCCTTATTTGAGAGAATCTTGGATCCCTGGGCTAGGAGCCTAGCCAACCTGTGAAGAAAAGTTGGTCTGGTGGTTATGGCCTGTGAATGACTGATTTGTTAGGTTTGTAAACTTTGCTTCAGTGGTGTGACTAAGGAATGGGCAAGTGAAGACACAGACTCAGGTTTTGGTAGGCCTGTGTGCATCAGAATGATGGGAAAGAGCCTGCTTCTGAACTGGAGACTGTGCTGTTGCAGATGAGCCTTTCGTGTATGTAAGAAGGGTTGTGAGGGAGATTCGTTACTGTCTTGAGATTTATTACTTACAAGAGCAAAGCTTCTGTCATAGCTTTTTCTTATTTGCCCTCTTCAGTGTCAAAGAAGAACCAGAGAGAAATTTTCAGCTTCCCATTGTCAGTATATGGAACTTGTATATTTCTCCTGTATCACTTAACCACTAAATCACCCACCCACAACAACAGGTAGTTAAGGAATCGCTTGTTTTGTAGCCAAACAAGCACACAGCACTATACCACACACAGTTGGGGGAGGGTGCTGATGAATCATTAGCATATCTGGCTAAGCTTTCATTTGTGAATGTTTGGAACTAAAAGTAGCAGACATTTCTTGCTTTGTGTGTCCCATACTCCTGCATGCTCAGAAGGCCAGATGCCTTGACCACAGTTGTTGGGCCTCAGAGACCACATGTCTGTGTCATAGGTAGAAATCACTGTAGCTCTCTTCGGTTGTGGGCTGGGGGAATTAAGAACAGAGATTCTTGAGTTCTTAAATTCTATCCCTGTGTCCATGTCATGCAGTCTGTTTCTGGCCTTGTGATAATCCCTGGCCGTTTTGGATTTCTCCAATTTTCTTTTCCTTTTTTTTCCCCTTTCCTTTCTCACTTGACATTAGCATCAGTCCTTACTTGTGACTTTTTCCATTTAACAAAGTTACAGAAATCTTCCCTCACTGTTGATTAGATTGTCTTTTCACACCCTTTTAAAAACCTTACATTAGCTTTAGAATCAGTTTTTAAACCTGCCACTAAAAGCTCTAATGTTAAAAAAAAAAAAACCATCCTCACAGTAACAGTTTCTCTCAGTCTCATCAAGAATACTTTTAAATGCGGAAGTTAGAAAATGGTGAATAATTGTAGCTGTTCCTGGAAGTCATTGTGTTCCTTAGTAATTATAAGCTGTAATCTTTGGTTCTGATTCCTTGACAGTTCCATCAAACTGTGAAGGATTGTCTTGAATTTAATGAAGTTTAGTCCTAGCAGAAAACTGCTCTTGGGTCACAGAATCAGCAGCAAGACTGTGATGCTGACGTGGGAATAGGGATGTTTATACCCTTTGTATTGACATAAGTTAATTTGGGGGACATATCATGTGGGCTTTTCTTAAGAACATAAAACATTTCACAAAATGAAAGCCAGAGGCTTTCTTAGCAATCAGATGGGAGCCAGTTCTGCCGGTCAGGGAAATGGGACAGTGTGCGTTGTCACCTGGTAAATGCATTGCTTAACTGAAGCTCAGGTTCCTTCTCTTTGGTTCAGAGCTCTTAACTTGGATATTCAGTGTCTGTCTTTACTCCACTATTCCTAAGCAATACCCCCTTCGGTCTGGGTCTTTGCAGGGTGAGAAAGACTGGCAGAAATATGAGACTGCTCGGAGGCTGAAGAAGTGTGTGGACAAGATCCGGAACCAGTATCGGGAAGACTGGAAGTCCAAAGAGATGAAAGTCCGGCAGAGAGCTGTAGCCCTGTACTTCATCGATAAGGTGAGGGCATCTTCTGATCAGACTGCCTACCATGTTCACCTTCATGAAGATGGAGGAGGCATGTATTCCTCCAGGCCCTGTGCTTTAAGTACTGCTGGAGAGGCAGTGACAGCCCAGTCATCTGGCGTCCTGCTCACCCAGGCTCTAGCCTACTAAGGAAGGGAGAAGTGGAGGGACAGGTGTTGAGGGGCAGACTGACTGCTGCTGTCTCCAGTCTGTCTAGTAGAAGGACTTTCATGAGTCTGAATGTGCCAGAAAGACTGACATTTTCAAACTCTTTGACCATGTGCCACCCCCCAAAATATTTTACATCACAGCCCAACATGTGTTTGTGTATAACTGAAACAAATGTCGCACAAAACAATGCTCAGCCTTTCTACGAGCAGCGAATTCTGATAGATTTTCCTCTGTTCCTTATTTTTTAAAAGGATGGTTATAATCCTTAAAACTGGTTAAATAGTGCTTGCTTCGGCAGTACAGAGTAAAATTGGAGTGATACAGAGAAGATTAGCATGGCCCCTATGTAAGGATGACACACAAATTCATGAAAATTAGTTAAATGATCGCCAATGTATCCTGACTACAGTTTGGAAGACAGTGCTTTGGAGATCAGTTTCTCACACTCTTTCAGGAGAAAAAGGTTTCATGTTTTCCCTTAGTTTTAGCACTGTTTATATTTAACACAAGTTCTGAATTAAAAATTAAGAAAAATTCAGAGAGTAGCTTTTTGAGTCTGATTGCCCACAGTTTTAAATATCTTCTTTCTTCTTTCCCCATTTGAGAGGACAGAGTAAAGAGACATGTAGTTTTCTGGGCAAGTTTAGTAGCCCTTGATTCTCTCCCCACACTGTATTTGATAAGGGAAGAAGCAGCAGTGCAGATCTGGAATTCCTGGGCCTTGCAGACTGATGGCCTGGCCCCAAAGAGACTTGGGAGGCTTCTGATTTGGGTTTCCTAGACAGCATATGATATTGAAGTTTCTTCATTCATGCTTATCTTCTCCCCGCACCCCCTCCCCCCGTCTCCTCCCTGGACAGCTTGCTCTGCGAGCAGGCAATGAGAAGGAGGAAGGAGAAACAGCGGACACTGTGGGTTGCTGCTCGCTTCGTGTGGAGCACATCAATCTGCACCCAGAGTTGGATGGTCAGGAATATGTGGTGGAGTTTGACTTCCTGGGAAAGGACTCAATCAGATACTATAACAAAGTCCCCGTTGAGAAACGAGTGAGTTACTGTGGCCTGAGCTCCCTGGCCTGCTTTTGCTTTCATTACTTGTTGAGTGCTTTTCCTGTGCTCTGTGTTTTGCTGAACACTAGGAAAAATGGTTTGAAGGAGTGAAGAGTTCCTGATTGGTGTCCTGTGTACCTCCTTTGAGTGCCTGCCCTTTACCCCTACCCTGTGCTACAGACCATGCTGTGAAGAGTTGGCCCTCACCAAAAGTTGCACATCATGTTTATCCCATCGTGTTGTTTTAATGATATAACCACACTTCAGTATCTCTTGGTTGTATTTCAGATTTGTCACTTTTGTAGCTTTGTTCAACTTTGCCCCAGCTCCTGACTCAGCAAAAAGGTAGCCCTTTGAGTCTCTGGATCTCAGTCCAGAGCTAAAGCAGGTGCTGCAATGCCATGGCCCCCAGGGTTGTGCTTGACCCGACAGAGTGCAGTACCCCGGTAGTCCAGCCCTTCAGCAGTCTGATATTTCATCAGTAACTGGGTTTTGCTGGCTGCAGAAATGTTCCAGATTAAATGAAGCTAAAGAAATCTGACAATTAATGTAATATCTGAGTTTAGGTTGGATTCCATACTGGGGAGGTGAGGAACATCAATGGGTCAACTGACAAAATAGGAATATGAACAAGATCGGATAAAAATGTGTCTGTCTAATTGACAAAGCTGAGAAGTTCTGTGTGTATATGAGAAAATACCTCTGTTCTTAGGAAGTACACTGAAATACTCAAGGGTAAAGGGCATAATTATGTAAGTACCCAGAAATGGCACTGAACAAATAATTGTGCATATACATATATAGATGTAGAAAGGAAATGAGTGTACATGTACACTGCACAAATCGGAAATGAGGTAAAATACTAATAGTAGGTAAATCTCGGTAAAGGATATGGATTTGGTTTTGTTGTTATTGTTTTTTTGCTTTGTGGGCTTTTTCTTTTTTTGCAAGCTTTATGTTGTAATTATTTTCAAAGTAAAGGTAATAATTAGGCTCTGCTTATTTCTTCTAGGTTTTTAAGAATTTACAACTGTTTATGGAAAACAAACAGCCTGAGGATGATCTTTTTGATAGACTCAATGTGAGTGACGAAGCCCACCGGGTTGAAGAGGGGCCCAGCCAGAGGCTCCCAAGCCGCTGAAGAAGAGGGCTGCTGGGAGTGACTGGGGCTTTGCCCTTAGCCTGTCCCAGGGCACCTGTATACCCTCCCTTCCTCAGGCACACACAGATCCATGGCCAGAGCCCTGGGATGGGGTGGATGAACCCTGCCTTCTATCCTTCTCTGGCTTCTGCATAGCATTGGCTGGAAGCTCAGTCACCACTGCTAGAGACCCAAGACCTGTCCCTGAAATCTTACTGGGGAAGATCTTAATAGGGAAGGATACATATGCTTTATTGGTCTGCTTAAGATCAAAGTGTTTCTTAGGGAGGCACATGTAACTCTGTATTCTGGAATTCTACCTTTTCCTAACTTCCCACTGGCAGGACAGTAAACTTGTAATTGCATAAATGTCCTGGAGCTTGCCAGGAGGGCCTGGATGGTATGGCTTCTACCTAAATCTCATCCTTTTTGTTGCTTTGTATCCTCCAGACTGGTATTCTAAATAAACATCTTCAGGATCTCATGGAGGGCTTGACAGCCAAGGTGTTCCGTACATACAATGCCTCCATCACGCTACAGCAGCAGCTAAAGGAACTCACAGCTCGTAAGTACTGCCTGGCCAGACAGGGACCACAGCCTTACTGCTGATGTCCACTGTCCTTAGTCGGCTGAGTCCTAGATCTGTTCCACTTTTCCTTATTAACATTGTGACTGGAAACTTTTCCCCTCCACACTGCAAATAGAGGGCTAAGGCTTGTTAGATGGATAAACAGATCAGTTCTGTCTTCCCCCAATCCTATTCTTCTAGATAAGCTTTTAAGGAATGCTGACAGGCGCTTTCTGTCTGCTCTGAAAGTGCCTGTATTTTGTGTATTGTATCTATGTTATTTAAGAGCTCACCAAATGAAGATAAAGTGCTGCAGTGTTCTGTTAAATTGGAGAGAGTAAGGTTGTCACGGTTACTAAAACAGCATAGGAGCAGATCCTTTCCCTGAGGTTTCTTTTTATCCCCCTTTTAAGAGTAGATAGTATTTTCCTAAAAACTGGCTGCTGAAAGTGTCACCAAGATCTGCAAGCCTTTTTCCTCTGGAGTCTAATTCTAATGAGTTTCCACTGTCCTCTAGAAATATGTCAAATGGTATTAGAAAATGGTGTTCAAAAAGCCAGAGGTGGGTGTGTTGAGGGTCAGTACTTTAGGGTGTGGTAAAGAATGCTGCATGACACAAGTGAGAACATTTCTCAGGTGACACTTTACGTTTTCCTTTCTGGAAGATACAGTGCCTTGTGGTTTTAAAATGTACAACTTATGGACCCTTCATTTCGCCCTCCTCTCTAGGCTATTTGTCCCAGTTCCGTGCTGTTTTGGGTGGTTAGACAGGGGAGGTGAGCACTGGGGAAAGCAGGTGATGCTGTTGACGCTCAGATTTTGACCTTGTGCCTTGGAGGGGGGGAACCTGAAGTGATCATCTGAATGAGATGAGGCCCAGTAAACCCTGAGGATGGAGTGCTGGGGAAGGCGTACTGTGTGCTCTCTTGTTACACAAGTTGACTCTTCATCACCATTTTTCTTTCTTCCCAGCTGACGAGAACATCCCCGCAAAGATACTGTCTTATAACCGTGCCAACCGAGCTGTTGCAATTCTTTGTAACCATCAGAGGGCTCCACCAAAAACCTTTGAGAAGTCCATGATGAACTTGCAGTCTAAGGTATTTTGGATCTGGATGGTGGGGGGTAGCAAAATCAAAAGCATGTCTGCTATGGCTATTTACACTCCACCCTCTGGGCTGCGCTGGCAGGTGGCCAGTCCTGGGTCTGTTCTGGAAGAAAGGCTCATGCTAGAGACACATGGAAATAAGATAGTAGTTACTCCTGGTCGAGACACTGACTATCGGGTATTCATTGTCCAGTGAGTACTCCCGTTGAAAAGCTAAACTTAACGTAGCCTCTTTGAGACGCTGCTAGCTATTGTCCTTCTACATGAGGGACAAAGATAGTCTTCACAACTCCTTTCCACAGCCCAGAAATACAACTGTTTCCAAATTAGATTGTTTTAAATTGAAAGGATGATGAGAGAATGATATTTAATTTCCCCTAATCCTAGCACAACTATTTTTAGTTTTACACATTCCACATGAATCATATTTTTATATAGCTCATCACCAAACATCTGTTGAATACTGGCTTTGTGCCAGAGCTGCTGCCCTAGAGGGAGATTGACATGCAAACAACGAGATGCTGTTCCTCTCTCCTTCCTCCAACTCTGCCTGGTACTGAGCTTTTAAGCTGCAAGGCACTTAGCATTTGATGATGATCATTTCTGTGTTACCCTTGGGTACATAACTAATACATTCTAATGTATTAACCCACCATAAGAATTTGTAGCTGTTTCACTACAAAGTAGATACATAGGTTACAAAGTAAACCAATTATCTTGAAATATATTTATGCAAAAGTCTGATATAGTAATTTATGTGGTTTTACTAATAGGTGGGTCTAATAATTGTAACTGTCAAGGTAGTAATGAATAAAAATGATACTTTTCTGCAACAATTACAATATGAAAATACGCATACCATCTATTGGTAATAAAGTCATAAGTATTACTGATAATACTATGTTTAGTTGCCCACATTCATAACTGAAGAAGTGATGAGTTTTAGCTAGGGGTTAATTAAACTACAGATTGCTTCTTTTTCCATCTGTGTTCACCAAATACTATACCTGGACAGCTGGAGTTCATAAACTACTGCTGTAGAGTGAGACTGCATACATGTTTCCAGGCCCAGGGTGTTTTCCTTCTGTTGAAATTTCTTCCAGATAAGTACCCAGGTGTGGTACATACGGGTCAAAAGACACATACAACCTGCAGTTCATGCTTCACATGCCACCTGGCTTTCCTGAAGGCGTGCAGACATCCACAGTACATAAGAATGTGTCCACAGATGTCTCAGATCCTTGGACCATGTGACTGGCAGGCAGAGAGCCTGTCCAGACCGCCCATCCTTGCAGCTCTGTTAACAGTGGTCATGTGGTACCATTTACTCTTCTCATGCTATCATCTCAAGCCAGAAATAAAAGCATGACTGTTCAGGTGTTGCTTACCTAATTCAGGAGGCCCATCCCTGGAGCATGAGGAGGCCTTTTGTCGGTCTCTCTCTGGAGCCACTGCTGGGCAGCCCGGGCTGCCTGCCAGGCGAGCCCTCTGAGCCCAGGAACCCTCTCCTGTGTGCCCACAGACACACACCCCCGTTCGCCCAGTGAATCAATGGGGTCTTTAATGCTCTGCGAGAATTCGACATAGCCTGCCAATTTAGTATTCACAGAAATGGTTAAAAGATTGTGGTTTGTTGCATTTCTAGCTTAAGAATCATCTGGCTAGTGGTGTCTGTGACGCTTTTGTGTAGTCAGTTCCTTCAGTTTGACTTTGCCACAACATAGATGTTGGAAGTAAGCCATTCATAGTAAAATGCATTTAATAATTCTCACAATGATGGCCTCTGTTTCCAGTCTTGGGCTGTGTGTGTAAATATAACAGACAATGCCAGGCTGAGAGCAACAGCCCAGTGTATCAGAGTCAGGCATGTATTTATTCTGGAGAGGTTCCCTTGACCTTGGGGGTTAGCAGGGTGATAGCAGGTCGGGGTTCTCCTGCCCCAGCTGTGAGCTCACCACTCTGCGACCCCAGCCCCACGGTGCTGCCAGCTGCTGTCCTTAAGCAGGAATTCAGGGCTTAAAACCGGTGCTGTCAAGAGAGAGAGGCTGGACTGTCCTTTTCTCTTCTTTTAAAGACTGGGGCCCCAGGAGATTTCATTTGGAGAAAGAGCTCCATAGCTTAAAAAGTTTTCAAATCTGCTTTGAATGATAACTGTTTGAATTTCCTTCCTGTCTCAGCTTTCTCACCTTTTAAAAGCAGAACGCCAAAGCCAGGCCACGCCATGTATTGGCTTGGAACAGACGAGGCTGAGTGGTTTGGCTTCCTGGGTACCTTTTAATTGCCATTTTCTAGTCCCTTGGGTATTCTCTTCAGTGCATCTTTTTTTTTTTCTTTTCTGGAGGAGTTAGCAGCTCTTCTCAGAGTGCTGGTAGAATCCGAGGAATGAGCTGAGCTCAGTAGATGTAAGGACTCTTGTCTCAGCTTCATAAACAGTATCTCCTGCAGGATTTTTGAGATGGAGGTGACAGCCTGGCACAGGATCCATTTGATAAACAGCTCTCACCTTCATCCTCTTCCCAGTATCTAAAACCAAAGTGTTCTCTGGTTGAAAGATTAGCACCTATACTCCCAGTCCCAGTGGGTTCTTTCCCTGAGTTTCTGGATTAATGGGTCCCCAAGTCATTGCCAGTGGTCATGTATGGATGTGAGAGTTGGACTGTGAAAAAAGCTGAGCGCTGAAAAATTGACGCTTTTGAACTGTGGTTCCGGAGAAGACTCTTGAGAGTCCCTTGGACTGCAAGGAGATCCAACCAGTCCATCCTGAAGAAGATCAGTCCTGGGTGTTCATTGGAAGGACTGATGTTGAAGTTGAAACTCCAATACTTTGGCCACCTCATGCGAAGAGTTGACTCATTGGAAAAAACCTGATGCTTGGAGGGATTGGGGGCAGGAGGAGAAGGGGACGACAGAGGATGAGATGGCTGGATGGCATCACCAACTCGATGGACATGAGTTTGAGTAAACTCCGGGAGTTGATGATGGACAGGGAGGCCTGGCGTGCTGCGATTCATGGAATCGCAGAGTCGGACACAACCGAGCGACTGAACTGAAGTCATTGCCATAAAACCTTCATTTCTTCAAGGGTGACTGAAGCATATAAATGGTCAAGTAGCATTGGAATCAGCACCCGCTGCATATCTACTCCATGCCTTCCTGGAGCCACCTCTGGGTGTTTTAATGAGACAAAACCACCAGGCCAGCCTACTTGGTGGAGACATCTTGAGGAGCCCTGTTTTCTTTCCGGACTTATTTCATTCCTAAATCTTACTGTTGTTCTTCCCTACCCAGATTGATGCGAAGAAGGAACAGCTAGCAGATGCCCGGAGAGACCTGAAAAGTGCTAAGGCTGATGCTAAAGTCCTGAAGGATGCAAAGACCAAGAAGTATGTGCCTGGTGTGATGCAAAGCTGGGGTTGGGTGAGAGAGAAAAAGCGTCCCAGCGTCAACCAGAGGTCCTAGCTTTCCTAGGGTTTCTGAGTGACGTCTTCTAGAAATGTCTGGGCCTGTGGCTTTTCTGCTTTTACTGCCCCTGGGTGGCAATGTGGGGATATGGTGCTCCCGTCCAGAGGCCAGGCCCAGTTCCTGATGACTTCCTTTCTTCCAGGGTTGTAGAGTCGAAGAAGAAGGCTGTCCAGAGACTGGAGGAGCAGCTCATGAAGCTTGAAGTTCAGGCCACAGACCGAGAGGAGAATAAACAGATTGCTTTGGGAACCTCTAAACTCAATTATTTGGACCCAAGGATCACCGTGGCTTGGTAAGCACCACGCCCTTCTTGAAGGCCACCTGCTGGCTTGGGAAGGGTGATGGGGTTCCAAGAGCGTTGTCAGCTCTCACACGCAGTTCCTGCATTGCACACGTAAGAGCCCTGTCTTCTGCCGTGCACACTGCAAATGCATTGGGACGTCCTGGATGGTCTGAAATGGTCAGTACTGCTCTACCACTTTGGAGTGTTTATTTTGTCTGCTAAGGCAGGTATGGTCCCCACCCCTAGTGGAACTTTAGGACAAGGATGGAGACTCTTAGTCCTTATTGAAGGAAAAAGTTAAAATGAGCCCATCTACCTACACTTTAACTTCTCAATAAAAAAATTTTTTTTAATAAGTGAAGGAAAAAAGGTACAAATAAGGAGAAAAGAAAAACAAAAAATGAGAATACGGATCTGAGCAACCTATGCAAAGAGTTTGCACCATTGTTTACTTGTTTCCCTGTTAAACCCCCCCCCCCCAATAAAATAACATCCAAAATAAATGACTTCTTTTGGAAGATGCTTATTAGTTAACTTGAACTATTAGTTTGTGGGCTTAAGAGGAGCAGCCATCCCCTGTGGGCCAGCGGTTCCAGCCAGCTCTTGTCCCCTTTCTTTATGTCCTGTTTGGTACTGGAGGTTTGGTTGGCTTGAGAGGCGATAGAGTATAATGATGAAGAGCATGGACTCTGAAGCCAACGTGCTTGGATTCACTTTTCAGCTCCATGATCACTAGCTACATGAGAATGAAACCAAATCACCTAACTTCTCTTAGTTTTTCATCTGTACCTTTTTCATTTATACACCTGCAGTCGTACCTACTTTAGAATGTCGGGATTCAGTGAGTCAAGCACACAAAGCCCTAAGAACACGTCTGGTACCTTAATTCTCCTTCTCACCAGATGGAACAGAAGGTGGCATATCCAGGCCCCAAACTGGGTCTGACCCATGTCTCCTGAGACACACTAACCCCCCTTCTCTCTCCCTTATTTGCAGGTGCAAGAAGTGGGGGGTCCCCATTGAGAAAATTTACAACAAAACCCAGCGGGAGAAGTTTGCCTGGGCCATCGACATGGCTGACGAGGACTACGAGTTCTAGCCAGTCTTGAGGGGCAAGAGTTCTGTGGAAAGGAACAGTGTGGTTTGGGAAAGATGGATAAACTGTGAGCCTCGCTTGCCCTCACACCCGAGGGAGAGAGGCAGCAAGTCTTAACCAACATCTTTGAGAAGAGATATTATAAGGGAGAGCTGAGCCAGTTGTCCTATGGACAACTTATTTAAAAATATTTCAGATATCAAAATTCTAGCTGTATGATTTGTTTTGAATTTTGTTTTTATTTTCAAGGGGTCAAGTGGATGGGAATTTGTCAAGAGTTCTGCCAGGCAAATTCACTGTTTCACTGAAACATTTGGATTCTCTTAGCTACTGTATACGAAGTCCGATTATATTGGTGCGTTTTTACAGTTAGGGTTTTGCAATAACTTCTATATTTTAATAGAAATGAATTCCTAAACTCCCCTCTCCCCCATTTCAGGAATTTAAAATTAAGTAGAACAAAAACCCAACGCACCTGTTAGAGTTGTCACTATCTATTGTCATGGGAATCAATTTTCATTAAACTTGAAGCAGTCGTGACATCGGCAGTGTTTTGGTTCAGACACCTGTTCACAGAAAAGCATGATGGGAAAATATTTCCTGACTTGAGTGTTCCTTTTTAAATGTGAATTTTTATTTCTTTTTAATTATTTTAAAATATTTAAACCTTTTTCTTGATCTTAAAGATCGTGTAGATTGGGGCTGGGGAGGGATGAGGGGTGAGCGAGTCTAAGGATAATAAATAATCAGTGACTGAAACCATTTTCCCATCATCCTTTGTTCTGAGCATTCTCTATGCCCTTTCAGATACCCATCTTTTTCATTTAAAACCCCAGTCTTTCACTTGAAAGATTTTATTGTATAAAAGTTCCACAGGTAAAAAATTTAGAGGAAAATGAGTATTTGGTCCCAAAAAAAAAGGAAAAATAATCAAGATTTTAGGGCTTTTATTTTTTCTTTTGTAATTGTGTAAAAAATGGGGAAAAAAAACACATAAAAAGCAGAATTTTAATGTGAAGACATTTTTTGCTATAATCATTAGTTTTAGAGGCATTGTTAGTTTAGCGTGTGTGCAGAGTCCATTTCCCACATCTTTCCTCAAGTATCTTCTATTTTTATCATGAATTCCCTTTTAATCAACTGTAGGTTATTTAAAATAAATTCCTACAACTTAACGGAAACTTGGTGTCTGCCTCTCTGTTAGCCGGGCCCCGGGCCAGAGTAGGGCTCCAGGGCTGGGCCTTGGTGTGGGATGTGGTCTGCCTGCTCCTGGCTGCAAGGGTGCCTCCCTCCCCAGGAGCTGGGGCTGCATCTGTCTTGCCACCGTGGGTGTGGGCTGAAGGGGAGGGAGCCAAAGTCCACATCCTTAGAGGGCAGGCCCAGGAAGTGAGGGCGGGTACAGAAAGCTACAACAGGTTGGGTGCAAGAACTATATCTGGAGCCTAGGGTAGGTTTATTGAGCAAAGTGGAACAAGTGTATTCGGGAAGCAGATTTTAGGACACTTCTGTGTGCTGGTGAGAAGCCGTGGGGAGCTTCTTTGGGCCTACTTACGTGGCTAAGTTACTGTCAGGATGGCGGGAATTAAGGATACTAAGCCAGTTAAAACACGGAATCCCAGAAGTTCTCTCTAGACAGAGATCCTTCTGACAGAGAGGGAGCGGTCTAGAACCACTTCTCGGTGCTCTAGTACCCGAGTCAGTCAGGATCCCTACAAAAATTGTTCCTCCTTTTATCCTAGGTTATAGCTAAGTCTGCGATGAAGTGGAAAGATTAAGTCTCCTGGTCAAAAGGAGCAGCTAACAGGAAGGCCAGAGTGGTCAGAACCGATCATTTAGCTAGCCTTAAGTCCTCTAGCCTGCCAGCTAAGGGTATATTCTGGGAGGATAGCCATCTCCCTGATGGTCTCTGAACTTGCAGGCTGGGGCTGGGCCAACTGCAGAGAATCCTGAAGGGTCCTTGGCAGCCTTTTATTTCATCAGCCAGTGAGGGAGGCAGCATTCACCCCAGGGAATAAAGGAGGGTACGGAGCCACTATTGCTTTGGAGCAAGAGACCAAAGCCAAGTATTTTGAGTTCAGTGGTTCTGGGGAAGCTATACCATGGGACGTAAGGAACAGCAACAGAGACGCTTGTCCATGAGCCCTATCAATGCACTTGAGCAGCACCTGTCACAGCCAGGGGACAGCCTTGGGCCACCAGTGAGAACAGGATAGGAGGCCCTGCGGGCACATTTAACTGATGAGCAGAAACCTGTGCCTACCTTTTCTGGCAAGGACCGTTCTTCTGAGGGCAGGTGCAGAGCAACTAGACGCTGGTCAAGAACAGCTGTGAAGGACTTCTGGGCAGTCGCAGCAGGCCTGCCTGGGAGAGCAGGCCAGAGAATGGGGGAAGCTGACCTGACCGCTGCGACGAGGGAAGAGGCTAGACAGAGGTGAGGGCCAGGCATGCAGGGCCTCAAAGGATGCCCAAGCATGAAGTCAGGAGGACCACTCCCCGGCTTCCTAGTCATCTGGCAGGTAGGGTCCCTCCTCCCACTTCCAGCCCTTAGGTCGGATGTGCAGGGTCTGCCCCACCCTCTCCTGTCAGGCCCTTCCGTGAGGCTGGGGTCCAACTGTGGGCAGAGGGAGACCGCTTCCATGTGCCGCCCCAGCCAGAAAGCTGGTGCTTGCTTGGCCCCTTCCTCCTTCACCGCCACCCCCCACATCCTGTCAGCAGGTCCTGTCTCTTCTCCCTGTCAAGTCTACCTCAGGCCTCTGACATTTTTTTTTTAGTGAAGAAAAAAAATTAAAAAACCACAACTCCCAGCCCTTTTCAGCCACCACCCCCTCCCTCTCTCTATTTCACAAACAAGCACCTGGAATGAGTCACCCCTACCACCCGGTCACTCCCCCACCCACTGCTACTAGCTTCTGCCCCATCTTGCTTCCAGTACCCCCTTCCACTCTGACCACAGTCACCCAGGAATGAGCGACCAAACCACCAACCAGGCTCTGCTTCCTCATCTCAAACTTGCAGTGGCACCAGACACTTCAAAAATCACTAGTGATACTTCACGTTTCATAAAATCCACCCATTTCCAGTATACGGTGACTTCTAGTAACCACTGAGTGGTACAGCCATCAGCGTGCGTCAGTTTTAGCACTTCATCCCCTCGGTAAGATGCCTCATGCCAGGGACGGTTAACCCCCGTTCCAACCTCCAGCCTCCATGAATCTACCCTCTCTATAGGTTTGTCTTTCCTGGACATCACACATCAATGGCATCATCCCCTTAAAGCACCCCTCGCTGGTCTCCACGGTGCCACCCTCTCCTGATTTTATCCCTCTGTCTCAGGCTGCGACTTCTGTTACCGCCTCGATCAGGTCCTTAGCGGCTGCGGTTCCCTTCTCAGTGTGGCTGATTTCATTCACGCTTGAACATGACGAGCCCCACATCCCTACCTCTAGCCTAGACCCCTCTCCTGAGATCCAGACACACACAGGCAGCTACACCTTGGGAGGGATGTCCACGGGCTCTAGAACTGTGTTTGGAACCTACCACGACCAGCCCACTGGCCTTGGTTTCGCATCTCAGGGAAAGGCACCACCATCCACTCTGTCTCCCAGCTGGAACTGAGGGCAGACATCATCCTTCACACCTTTCTCTTATATCCAGTAAGTCACCAATTCTGATAACACCTTCTAAATACCACATACATCAAATCCAGCTATTTCCTCCATAGAAAACTGAAGAAAAAAAAATTTTTTTTTTTTTCTGAGGAGTTTTACTTACATTTCAGTCTTTACAAAATCCCCCATAAAATGGGTTGTTCTCTCAACTTGTTTTGAACCAAAAGACACTTTTTGGAGAAAACACATTATCCTGAAATGACCTCAGTCAAGCTAGTTTTGGATGATTGTAAGTAGTCCCCTGACAAAACCAGTAAACAAGGAAGCAAAGAAATTTACCACAGACTGGGCAATTATTTCTCACAATCCCAAGCACTGCATTTGAACAGGTTTCTTCAAGATGACTTTAAATAGCAATACGGTGTTGATTTTTTTCAGGTTTGAAAATGGCACTGCAGTTATGTATATATGTTTTTAAAGAGTCTTTTAGAAAAACACTGAAATATTTATAGATAACATTATAGAGCTAAAATTAGTGTCGAAATTATATGGAATGGGTTAGTGTATCGAGTTTGACATGAAACAAGAGTGGCCAAGAGTTCATAATTAAACTGGCTGATGGGTACATTTCACCATGCTATCCTGTCTCCATTTATATACATTTTAAAGTTTCTGTAATATTTTTAAAGCAATACAGTGTAAGTGGGGATTATGTCAATCATTGATATGTATCTACAGAAGAAATGAAAAAAAAGCTATTTAATGTTAAACAGAAAAGTAGTCATGCTTAGGTTAAAACTTCCAGTTGACAGTATCACATACTGATTCAAAAAGTATTTTCTCTGCAGCAACATGGATCAATCTCAAAAACATTATACTGAACACAGACCCAAGGGTACACACTCTGTGATTCTACTTATATGAAATTTTAGACCAGGCAAAACTAACCTGTAGTGACAGAAAGTAGACTTTGTGGTTGCCCGCTGGGGGCAGGGGAGATTGACTTTTTTTTTTTTAAATATGGAACGTTTCACGAATTTGCATGTCATCCTTGTGCGGGGGCCATGCTAATCTCTGTATTGCTCCAATTTTACTGTTTGTGTTGCCAAGCTGAGCATGAGATGGACTCTTAAAGGGCACTCAGAACACTGTTTGGGGTGATGGAAATGTCCTATGTCTTAACTGGGTGGGGGTTACAGGGGGGTATACATTTGTCCAAGATTTCCAAACTTTACACTTAAAATAGGTGAATTTTCTGTAGGGTATTCCTCAATAAAGCTGATTTTTCATAAGTGCTCTTTCCCAACTGAGAAAGAAGATGATGCACTTTCAGAACTTACATTAGATGGCTCAAAAAGTGGGCTCTTATGGTAAGAACTATATAGAAGTTAAAGA